CATAGCATTTTCAACAAAATGAAGATCCTGATGCCTGATAGATGATAAAAACAGACTTCTATTCATTGAAAAATGATTTCTGGGTAATTTGGAGAAAAGTCAAATTTTGGCCAAAGTTTTAGTTATTAAAATTTTGACGAAAGCAAAACTGAGATCCTGATGACTGATAGATGTAAAAGATAATTTTTTGTAAAGAACTCAGAACTGTATTTAGAGATGAATTCCAGGGTTTGTTAAACTTCTGTACTATTTTGATGCAATAACGAACAGTTTCAAATTTCACCAAAAGCTGAGAAATCTGCAAGATGTTAGCCTTGCATTTTCATTAAAATTTCATCATGAATGGACAAGAATTCAGAAATGCATTTCAACAAAATTGTAGGTTCTCTGACACTTCTTAATAATTTGAATGCAATTTTGACCATTTTTTAAAATTTTCACTCGAAGTTGAAAAACAGCAAGGGGTTAGCCTGGAATTTAATTAAATTTTGTCAAAACTCAACTTTTCCTAAAAATGGCTCAAAAAATTTGTTCCAAGCTACAATTCAGACCATTTTCAAATTTTCACCCAAAATTGCAATAACAAGGGATTAGCCTTGTGCGAAGGTAGCTGTGGGGTTGGATTCATGCCCAGCAGGTAGACTTCCTCAATCCAGGGCACTGAAAAGAAGACACACAGGTTGGGGGGGGGGTTGGAGAGCAAATGGGTGGTAGGTTTGCAACACCACAAAGGAAACTGAACCGAAAGTCAGCACTCTGTTTCTGCTGATTTATTGTCTGCAAGTCTGGTACCCGGGCCTGTAAAATGGAACAAGCATGCTGTGCAGCCCATGTGATCTAGACGGATACATATAACACACATATTTCAAGTAAACAATTCAACTCGGTGAGCAGAAGGACTGGGATCCACAACTACAAGAATTTTAAAATAAAGAACTTAAAATAAAACCTCAGATAATGTGCCTACCCAATCACGAACTACATGTACAATATCAAAAGAAGTTGGAGTTTGTTTGTTGTGTGTGACCTCCAGCGAGTGTTTTGATTAACTAGCAGAGATGGCACCTGCAGTAGTAAAATTGAGTACAATGGACATTTCTGTAAACAGATAATTGGCAAAAACCAAAGTATGGAAAACTCTTAATATGGATATATTCTTCCAAAATGACTTTCTAAAAGATCTCAGAAATACATATTTCAAAATAAATTTCATGTTTCCTGACAGCGCTTCTTATTATTTGATGCAGTTATTACCATTTTTAAAATCTAACCCAAAAATTGAAAAAATTCAAGGTATTTTAGTTAGCCTTGCAATATAAAATTTTGACAAAAGTGGACTTCTTTTAAAAGAGCTCAGAAATGTACTTCAAAGATAAAATTCAGGTTTTTTGATATTTGAATCTAGTTTTGATGCAATTGTCATCAAAATCTTTAAACTCAAATTACAAGGTGTTAGACTTGCTGTTCAACTGAAATCTTATTAAAAATGGACTTTTACTAAATGAATTGATTGTTTAAATGCAAAAAATATACCAATTGTTTCAAAGAAATATCATACCTGATAAATTAAAATTGCATTTAAATGTGCAAGTCTACAGTTGCACTACATAAAATGACTTCAAGGCAAAAGCCTGTCAAAGGCATCGTAAAAGGCAAGATTTCAAGGAAATGAGAAATTTCCCAAGAGGCAAATTGCACATGTCAGGTTTCTTCACTTATGGGTATAAATCACACTTTGCATCTAGAACTGTCATCTCTAACATCAAATGTTTTGACGAATGATGATCACAGGAATCCCTATCGCAATTCCGTCTAGCAGGTTTGGATCCAGTGCATCACACTGTCATACTGCTGCTGCCCATGACCGTTTTTGGCTTCTTGCAGGATCTTGAGATGTCCTCTCTTTCTTCATGCCATGACCATGTCCTCTGTACCTAGTAGGCTTCCTAGGGGTGAGGGGACTGTCATCAGAATCAGCACCACCAATTAAATCCTGTGAAGGACCCAATAAGTAAAAGAGCTTAAAATGTATTGCAAAAACATTTGGTGAATGAAAGGTGAATAAAAAGCGCTGCGAGTTCTCACTTTTGGATAAGGTTGTGTCTGAATCACTGAGCTGTGGCTTGAAGTTGACACAACTCCATGAGAAGTGGCTGAAGCCACTACCCATGGACAAGTACATAATTACAGGCCACAGCTGAGTACATTTGGACACAGCTTGTCACACAATGCCAGCGTCTACAACAAACTGGGCTGCTACTTCTCTCTAATTGTAGGAAAGTGGCCAATCTGGTTGCATTTTACACACCGTATGTTCTGCACAACAGATGCCTTGGTGATACCATGGTAATCACAGACCACATCCGTCAGTAAAGATATCTGGCCTCTAGGGGCTTCACCCAACAAGGGATAACTCAAAGTCAGTCTTCAAAACAGTCTTCTGCAATCTTTGTTAAAAACAAAGACCTTAGAAAAACATGTCACAGTTTTCACAAAGAGACAATTTTCTTATCTGATTGCAAAACATAGGTTTTGAGAAAATTGCATTTGAAGTTGGTCTCTATTTCAAAAGCTTAATTTCCTACATTTAAGCATTCCTTTAAATTCACCAATGCTACTCCATGAAAAAGGGGATGTTACATGACACAAAACTACAAAACTAATATTTCTAGAATTTTAAGTTGTTTATTTTGTAAACAAACAAGATTATCTGTTCGTGAAAAGCTAAAAGTCATGTGACTTTTGGTCTCTTCTTGAAACGGCATATACAATATACACTTTTGCCATAGCATGTGTCAGGTGCAACATTGTTACTTTTGTATACATTTCTGGAGTCAAATTTCTCTTCCTGAAAACTACAAAGCCAGTTTTGCCCTCAATTTTGATCTAATTGCCAACGTTATATCTATGGAAGACAAAATTGTCTCTTCATGAAAAACAAAAATGCAGTTTACTTGAAACATTGCCCCACAGAGACAGTGATTCGGGTGATTTGAGTAGATTTGGTAAACAATGATTACATCGAGTTGTAAGCATTGCATAACCTAGTTTATTTTGCCAAAAAATGAACCTTGAAAAATCATGATTTGGGGTCAAATTGTCTCATTTTGTGAAAACTGTCATGAACAAACAAAAGTAAAATCTTACAAATCTACAAAACATTTAATGCACCTATCTGATTGGCATGGATGCTGATTACGAACTTAACTTGAAAAGACGACAAACATTTGGATCCTTATCTGTTGCCTTTTTAGAAAGTTGTTGAAACTTTACTAATTTAATTTCGAACAAATGTAAAATTACTTGCCCCATCAAAACGGCAAATATTTTGGGATGCTCCAAGATCGTATGGTTTGGCAAACATGGCCAATGCAAAACAAGACTGATGAGGAGTATGATTTCATAATCCAAGGCAAAACAATTGCGAGTCCTCAATCAACAAAACAAGGCCAGGAGGAGGCGCGGTTATTGAGGTTTTTCGTGGGGGGGAGGATGCCACCAATGCATTTGTCGCTGCAATGATCTAGCTGTAGTTAACAATGGCAAAATTACATACTAGTAAAAGATTTTGATCATCATGTTCCTCACATATCGCTTCAGAGTTCTTCATTTCCTGTCAAAATGAAAAAGAAAAAAAGAAACTACCAAAGTGGAAAGTATTTCAATTTTAGGACACATTCTTGCTTCAACTTGACTACAGTTCCAAATAAGAGATTTGAAAATGTAGACACTTCGTTTTGAGAATCAGTCATAATCTTCAGGTCTCTTTCTGTTGACGGAAATTTTTTAAATCTTTGAATAAGTTTTGAACTTTTTAGTTAGCAGTCTCATGCAACAAGACAAACAGTGAGTGGTGTTGAAGTGTGATGCCGAAATTCCACTCTTCATCAGGAGGGGTAAAGGAGTCAAAAGACTACTCTTTGTATGCTCTTGAAAATAAGAAAAAAACCAATCACTAGCAGAGAGATAAAATTAAGAATAAACAAAGTTGTCTAGGAAAGTGCTTTGTTGAGTACAGTCGCATGCTCACCTTTCAAGCTGCAGTAAAGTGATTATCCTGGTAAGGTTAGTGAAAACAGGGCCACCACGTGAAGGTCCCAGGATACCAGCCCCGCACGCTTTCGGCAATTAGCGGGCCCATCGCTGGACAGACTGGTACTACCCTGTGGCCGCAGGGGCACCATCTGCCACTGTCCGGTCCGCCCTCCCGAAGGAGAGTGCCCTTGCCTACTCACGCGCGCCCTCCCACCCCCGGGTAGGTGAGAGGACGTACCAGCGCCTTGCTAACCCCAATGATAACAGGGCCACGCCCCTATGGAAGAGGTCCGCGGCCCTCGACACGAGGGACACAACTACCTGCATCTTTTTTGGCTAACAGAAACGTTGGTAGGGCTAGACTCACGAATTGCCTAGCCCCTTCCGCACAACTCGCATTGAAACCCCCCAGGACTCCAACTGGAGCGAGTTCCAATTTCATATCGATCTCCGCACCCACCTAAGCCCTAACGACATCGGGATATAGGAGATCCCATAGTCTCTGCAATGCTCAGAAGGATATAACAGATCCAACTGAGCTACAGGAAAAAAAGCCCTACAGTGAAACTTCAAATCGTTTCACTACTAAGAAAAAAGTCCCTGAAGGAAGTTACCTAAGCCCTACAGATGACCGCTGGTGGAGCCTTGCAGCAGGGATGGATCCAGGGGCAAGTTCCTTAACCTTAATTAATCTATACTTATGTTTCTCAGTGGACCATAAATTTTAAATTCATTTTCATAGGCCCCAATAAGATGTTTGATGATGTTGCCATGACAATCATTGTATTATTCTCTCAAAGAGAAAACTGTGACACATGAAGCCTAATATAATTTTAACAAGCAAGCTCCCCAAGGAGCCGAGTTATAGTTGTCCAGCCCGTCACTGCCACCTAAGATCCACCCCTGGATGGACATAGGGATATAGCAGATCCCATAGTCCCGCTGGTCTTGCGTTGGGGATGTAGGGATATAGAAGATCCCATCACCCGTCTTGAGGACATCGGGATATAGCTGATCCCATAGTCCCTTATAGAATTGGACTTGAAGGAAATATGCTCAATTTGAGCCGATGACCTGTGAGAGACCACCACCCCACACAATCACAACACATAACCCACCACCGCACAATCACAACATGCAGCTGAACCATTCTGGGAAAATATTAAACTGACTTGAAACTCATGGATTTTTCTGTCAACCTTGGCCAACATCACAAAACTAAATTTCAATTCTGCACAGTTTATTTCAAAACTTAATTTTCATAAACCAACTATTCGACCAATTGTTTTCTTCAATTTTTTTTCTTCCACAGAAAAGGTGTCAAGCTAGCAACCAAATTTGGAAAATTATTTCAAAAAAGTGTTTCCAAGAAATTTTCCCTGGATGGTTAAGAAGCAAACCTGAACAAAAGTGTTTCAAGTTTGCTTGGATATGAAAATAAAGGGTTACTTTACCAAGCCTAGTTGCTATGATCCGGGGTTCTTGTGCATGTTCACGCCTGTAAGAAATGGTTACCTCACCTTCTGAACATGCAAATCGTGAATTCCCCGGCCTCTACTTGGGATGATCGACCTGTCTCCCGTTGTACCAGATTCACAAACAATGCCCTTGTCCAAATCGGATGAAGACTGTGGTGCGGGGGTCTTGTGCATGTTCACAGCTGCAAAAAATGGTTACCTTACCTTAGTGAACATGCAATCTTGTCCCCGGCCTCTACATGGAATGATCGACCCCTCTCCTGTTGTACCATTTTCAGCAACAATCCCTTAGCCAAATCTGATGAACCCTGTGATGCGGGGGTCTTGTGCATGTTCACAGCTGCAAAAAATGGTTACCTCACCTTAGTGAACATGAAATCTTGTCCCCCGGCCTCTACGTGGATGGTCACCTTCTGAGTAGATGCTGAAACAAAATCAGGCAAAAATAATCAAACAATGAGAAATTTGAATGGTTAAAACAGACACATGGTGTGATGGTTGAGCTGGTTTGAAAAAAATTGTTTTGGTGGTAACTTACCTTGTACCAAACTTTCATTCTTTTCATCTCCACTTTTTTCAGCTCATACATCATAGAAGACTGCGATTCCTAAGGACATGAAAAGAATTCCTTTTAGTTTATCAGACACTCATTAGAAACTAAGAAATTTGCACAGTTAAGTAATAAAGGACGCATTTGTAAAACAAGGTTTTTGGTGGTTACCTCACCTTATGAGCATGCAAGCCGTTAATTCCCCGGCCCCTACTTGGGATGACCTGTCTTCTTTTGTACCATTTTCATCAACAATCCCCTTAGCCAAATCGGATGAATCCTGTGATGCGGGGGTCTTATGCATGTTGTCTACGTTCTTCCTACAAGCTGTATGTGCGAGTGTTGGTTCCAGCCTTCCTTACTGATTCAAATCATGGTGTACAGGGATCATCTGTAAAGAAAAATATAATTTTTTTAATTATTTTTTCTCAAGCCTGGGCTGCTATAATTAAAAGACTCTGGGACAGGATTTTACATTCCATCCTATTTTTATCTATCATAGCTTTCCAGACCTTCAAGAGGCTCTGCAAAATTTGGTGCAATCCTCACTAGTTGGACTCTACAACTATTCAGGTGCCAAAAACAGCAGTCCTCCAAAAGCTGGCTTCTCATGCAACCCTTTGTGTAAAAAGAAGATTTCCCGAGGAAGAAAAGCTGGGAAGAGGTTATCTGACCTTTGACCAATATGGACAATGCTTTTGCATTTGTACCAGCTTTACTGATGACAGTGAGCCTTACTTACAAATTTCAATGTATAAAATCTATATCTGGTTTCATGCACATTTCCAAGATAAGTATACTTCTTCAAAACCCACAAAATGTGGGCTTTTTATCAGTCTGAAGCAATCAAGACTACAGCAGATAATCAGAGAAATGCATCAAATTTCAAATTAAAATTTACATGTACGGATCACTTAATTCCCAAATTACTTTTGCTTTCCTGGGAAGTCTTTTTTTTTAGGGTTGAGGAGCCATTTTGTGCAGGACTTGGGAAAAAAGTTGAAATTACAAGAGTTCTATACATAGCCATCACTTTATTCCCTGTTGCAAACCTTATAAGACCGGTCTGGAAAATTAAGCGTTTTAAGTAAGATGCTTCACTCTTTCCACTGCTAAATGTGACTTTTTATGACATGATTTCTAAATGGCTAATTAACTACTGCAAGGGACAATTTGTGATGTCCAGAAATGGACTCTCACCCCTAACAAACGTCCTTGCCTACACAAAGTGAACGAGTCACAGTCGAAATTTAATTTCGTGCTAAAAAAGCTGGTGCTTCCAACCATAATTATTTCAGCTTACCCTCTCTACAACAGTAAATTATGCCACTTCCACCAATGGGGGTCAAAACTGCTCCATTCCGCTCAAAAAAAGCAGACTTGCTGGATGTCAAGATGGCGAGGAGAAACCCTCCTTCCACAACGCCCGCGAATTTATGAATGCGCGCGCCACCCCACGTGTTGATTTCATTGTTAAACAGTTACACTGGTCCCTGCATTCATACTTATTTGGAATTCACAGGCTGCCGCGGAAACCAGCCATACATTGCGCAGTTGAAATTCGATCAAGTGGGTTATCCTGTATGTAAAATAAAGACTGCCATTGGCCAGTACTTTCATTTATCTACTGATTTTTAATTTGTTGGATTATTACCCGCTGCTCTGAACAATACATTTTATAACGAGAAAATAATACGGCAATCTCAATTTTACACATGAAGGATTTACGTCTTATGAACAGCGCCCCCTGAGTGCAAGTCAAATTTTTTGCGGCTCCCATACCAGTGTTTTCAAAGAAAGGAAAGTATTTTTCACTTCATCAATCACTGGCCAGTTAATCCTAGACAAAGTAATTTATTCATCCTCGAAATATCCTGGATGGCAGTATACGATAAGGTTACTCTTATTTTTATTTAACCCTGGCAAACTGCAGTCATATTTGTCAATTTAACAAGGCTAGGCTCAAATAATTAACGAAAGGAAACTTACTAACATTTCACTTTTCTCAAAATCACTCAGAGATCATTTTTGAACAACTAGCCATGCATTTGGATCATTTTAAAAATATGCATATTTCATATTCAATGCAAATTCACGAGTCAAAATTTAAAAATGCAATGCCTTGCAAAATAATAAGATTTTGACAAAAATTCAACTATTCTCAAATCACCTAAAATCAGTTTGAAACAAAAAGAGTGTACTTAGATCATATTTCTGACATCTAGATTTGAAATTCATTTACAATTCGAACGTCGAAATAAAAAAAAATTGCAGGGGGCAGCCTTGCAAACTAATTAAATTTTGACCAAAATTTAACTTTTCCCAAAATCACTCAAAAATCACTTTGAACAAAAAGGAATATATTTGGATCATCTTTAAGGCATCATGGTTTCAAATTTCGTACTCATTCTAAAGTTGAAACAACATAAATCAAAACTAACTTTTCTCAACATCACACAGAAATAAATTTTTGAACAAAAATAGTGCATTTGGATAAGCTGAAAGGCATTTCAATCTCAAATTTAATACAAAATCTAGGCCGAATTTTTTTAATGAAATACATGAGGTGCATAGCAAAATAAATAAATTCAGACCAAAATTCAACTTTTCTCTGAACCATATAGAAATAATATTGGAACACAAAGAAAAGTACTTGGATCATGTGTGAGACATCTAGATTTCAAATTTAATACAAATTCAAGAGTCTTTTGACTTCTGACCAAACTTTGCTCAAAATCACATAGAAATAATTTTCGCACAAAAAACTTGCAAGGCTTCTCTGACGTATGATAAGCCTTCAAATAATTAATATTTCAAAAAGATTTCTTTCAAAATCGTTTCTGTCTATATGCTATGGAGGACAAGTGCTTTTCTAACAAATGGTAATGGTTCAAAACATATTCTCTACATAAATGTTTAAAAAATCCAGACTTCCAAAGAGGCCTCCAGTTTCTCAAGTAAGGAGAAACACGTGGTGCTGTTGAATTACTTTTCTCTTAAGTAATTTCATTTACTCCTTGCTTTTTCTTCTTTTGCAGATGCTGCATTGTAAAACAACTGAGCCGCTGTGATTAAAATGTCACTTTGAAGGAGGTCACCATTTCATTCCATTATACTGTCCAGTCTCAGTTTCTCAGTTGTAGGGTCACAGGGAAGCAAGCAGGTCAAAGTCTGCATGACCTTTGACACAGGGGTCATCATTTTCATATCTGCCCATATCATTAGTCAGAGCGTGATGCCTACAACTGGAGAGAGAGGGGTATCTGGTTGACTCAGAAATCCAATTTGCTTCGTCCACCAGTTGACCCACAACCCAGAGAGGGCGCTATTGCACTTAGTACTGGATCTTCCTGCGGCCTGCTGACCGTCTCTGATAACTCAGGAGGCAGATGTAACTTCTGTCAAAAAAATTACCATGTTAAATTCGATGGCTTTAAGACTTATTAGATTTTAACCCTAACACTCCTCAGTCCTCCAACAGGTGGAGGACTGAGGAGGGTTAGGGTTAAAGCAGGGATTTTTTTAAGGGGAGGGGAAGCAATTTCTCAGAGCTGGGAGGGAGCAAACGTCAAAATGGGTCAACTTGGAGGTTTCTCTAAGCAAACCGATCACTGTATATCATCCTCTGCTCTCTCTGATTTTTCCTTCTTTTTGCCTTTTTTCAATTTTATTTCTAAGGAGGAGGGACAGTTATAGATCATTTGCTCCTCCCCCCTTCTGACAACCCTACTTCAGCGTGAAGTTTATTGAATTGTCCGTCGAAAAGAACAAGACATGAGCTATGAATCCCACCCGGAAGACCTCATGAAATACAGTCAACAAACCTCAATAGTCAGTTTCTTCCTCTTCAATTTAAAGGCTAGATCCGTGGTGTCAGGCATATGACCACTCAATGAGTTTAATCTTGGCAGTTGCTTGATATGAAATAATCCTAGGGAGTGAAAAATTGAAATAATTACATTTGCAGTACATAAATTATCCCCAATCCTTGGAATCTTTGACCAGGCAGATGTTGCCTCCCAAGTTTCAAATGAAGTCATGTTTGATTTACTCTGCTGTGGCTTAAAACTACACATGAGTCTATGAGAGTGGCTGCAGCCCCTTACAATACAGTCCTGTATAATTACAAGCCGAAGCCATTTAATTTGGACATATTCTCAACTGATCTCTAGCACCTGCAGGGCACCCTAGAGTCTATGAACTTGTACCCCTCAAGCCCCAGACCTCTGAAACTGTATCACTAAACAGTCGTAAACCCCCTGGGTGGAACCTGTTACCTAAACACCCCCAAAAGCTGCTCCCCTGGGTGGAACCTGTTACCTAAACACCCCCAAAAGCTGCTCCCCTGGGTGGAACCTGTTACCTAAACACCCCCAAAAGCTGCTCCCCTGGGTGGAACCTGTTACCTAAACAAACCCCAAAATCTGTTCCCCTGGGTGGAACCTGTTACCTAAACACCTCCAAAAGATGCTCCCCTGGGTGGAACCTGTTACCTAAACACACCCCAAAATCTGTTCCCCTGGGTGGAACCTGTTAACTAAACACACCCCAAGATCTGTTCCCCTGGGTGGAGCCTGTTACCTAAACACACCCCTAGAGCTGTTGCCCTGGGCGGAACCTGTTACCTAAACACACCCCAAGAGCTGTTGTCCTGGGTGGAACCTGTTACCTAAACAGAACCCCAAGAGCTGCTCCCCTGGGTCGAACCTGGTACCTAAATAAACCCTCAACCTCACCATGATACTCCTTGTACACAGGATTCTTTTCCTTGTCCGATCCAGCAAATGATTCCAATCTCACGGCCGTGTCACATAACCTCTCTACTCGCCTTATGACAGCTACATCCTAATGACAGATCAAAATAAAGTACCTTTTAGATTGTATTTATCTGTGATCTACTATGTAACAATTAAAGAGTGAGGACACTAAATTTGTGGCTATTTCCAGGTGTGACTGCAAACTCTTGGTCTCTCCATGCGACCACTTGAAAGCCTCCTTCAGAACAAGATCTTACTTACTGCAAATAAATGTGTTGGCATAGTGATGACGCATACTGCTAGAGAGTTGCGAAGCAAGGCACGGAGTGCATGAAGAAACTGGCAAAGTTCCACCCCCTGGCTGACAACCTGCTCCTCCCCCCATAAGGGTGATGCCAACGAGTGGATGGCAATTCTTAAGATATTTCTGTTGCTGGACTGAAAATGAATTAAAAACAAACAATGTGCAGGTTTGCAGTGTTCAAACCATTCCTGACAACCAGCAGTATAGTAATACAATGTGTCAGCCATCTTGAATTGAAAGCAAGGATAACTTTTTAAAGTTCAGAACCTGAAAGTAAAATTAACAGCCACAAAATAAATGTTTGTAACAAATTAATGCTACTTTACCTTTCAACCAATTTAGAATTTGTAATAAATTGTAGCTTAATGTTAAAGCGACAAAAAATAAACTGAAAGTGAGGCTCAGTAGCCAAACTACTCTGCCACCACACCATTAATAGAGGGATCCCAATACGACGCTTTTAGCGTCGATCTGCGCACTTCCGCATTTGAAAACAAGGCTGTATGTGTCAGCTTCAATTCTTAATACAATCAGACGATTGAAAGTAAGGAGCCAAGACACAAAATACATAAAGGTATGTTAAATTCAGACTTTTCAGGCTGCAAGAGTCTTTCAGGATGACTCCACACATCAAATCTAAAGAAAAAATAGCGGCAATTTACCGCGAACTAACGTATCTGTCATGGTCATGTATTTGCATGTGCAGTGGAGGTGGTTTAAACTGAAGTGGCGTTACGTTTACGAACCGGATACTGCATGTACTGTGTCGACTCCGCGGGTGTACCAAACGAAGTTCAACACAGAGAGCCTTGGTTTCAGTGCTGATATGCGCAGACGGCGCTTATGTGAAATCCCTCTATAGCGTACATTGAATACGACAGATTCAGGGAACACAAGCAAAAATGGCTTTCCAGAGAATAAGGACTATTACAAGTTCACTTGTCATTCCGTTGTTATGTCTGTTGCTCGCACCCACCTGTTTGTGTAACAAACTAAAGCCTCCTTCAGTAATCTGCTGCTCAATGTGTTGAAATAACCTCAGGTAGGGTGAAACAGAACTGAGAAAGAAATCCAACCCATTTTACAAATCAAAGTGAATCACAATCACTACAGAGAGTAATCAATAAACAGAGTCAAACAGAATGTTTCAAGAACATCAACTTCAATTGAAAAGTTAATGTGCTAGATCAAAGCAATAGATAAACAAGCTAGGAGACTAACAGACAAGCCTTACCCAGATTCATCATTCATAGGTACACAATGACAGGAAATGCTGGATAATCTGTCACTTGGCATTGATTTACTGAGATCGTAGAAGTGGCCAAACCGATGTGTTGAAGGAGTAGACTAAAAGAAAAGGCATTGCAAGAATTAGATGAATGTTAAAAGCATGACTGGTCAACATGGCAACATTAAATTCAATTCTAATAGACAGGGAATACCTGCAGTGTCTGTCTATAGTCATTTGCTCTGTCTTACCTGGTGTTTAGGAAGATGTTCATACCGCCAGGCTATCTTCATTCTATCTTCAGAGCTTACAGCGCCCTCATTGTCTCTGATCGTTTCAGCCACCTTTTTCACAGGATCATCCTCTACAGGACACGGTAGATTCTGTAATAAGTCACACATATCACAAGGAACATCAACTGGGTTCAGTGCAACATTTGAAGCAAAACTGCATTCCTGTTACAGTCACAGACAAATATTTATCAAATCCTTAATAAATACCTTTAACATTTTCTGTGGTTTTTCATCTGCACTGGATAAGAACAAACTCTGACCAGTCATTACTCCTTCAGCTAGGAAATACCGTAACAACAGTGAAGCATAGTTACCATATGCGTCTTCCTCTACAAAGGGAAAAAAAGAAATGAAAGATGTATATTTCTGACCAAATGAATACAAAATATTTTCTCCAAAAAGTAAGATTAAGTAAAAGTAAGATTTTCAATCCAAACTCCAACAAGGAAGCTATGGCTTACCAATGAGAAAGGTGGTCCCAACAGCAATACCCCCTCCTGTGAAGGAAAAAATGAGTTGATAAGCCAAGTACTTAAAAAACAAGAAAACTGTAGTTTTAAACCAGACATTCATCAAAAGCAATACTTTAACCTAAGAAACTATTCGCATCAAAATTATGTCTAAAAGAATGACCAACACTTGGACTTGTGTGTCCAAAATACAATGGGCAACTGGCATGAGATGTACATGTACAGTAGGCCTACACACTACACATGATGGGCCAACCTATATAATTGTGTACCAAAGAATTTTCCATTTTCTAACCCAAGCATGCCAAGTGCAAGAAATGGGCCAATTTAAGATTGTTGAGGCTGTGTGGTGCATGGCAGTCAAAGAAGGTGGTTGTTACTTGAACAGTCACATATTCCCTTCATATTTTAGACAAAGTCTTCTGATAACATTGTCCCTGTATCCTAGCTGGCCTAGGCAGCCAACCTGCTACTGAGTATGTTTGCTGACCCAGAACAGAAAAAAGTCTCTCCTTAACCCTTTTTGGGAAAGAATTCCACATACGGACGCCAATTTTTTTCTTTGAAGTGACCTATTACAAAGCTATCTGAAAGCAATCTAATTGCATTTAATTGCTATCTGAAAGCAATTAAATGTCCTAAAGTCAAATTTAGCAGTGAATATATTGAGGTGTTTTCTGAGAAAAATATTGTTTAGGCCATGAGAATGATAGTTTTAGCTTTGTGTCCACCACCCGCATGCTCCAAAACACCCCCGAATAAATTCGTTATTTACACAATTTTTTATTGTTTTCACAAAAAGGCTATCAAACAAACATTTCAAATCCCAAATCATTAAGCAGTAGTAAAAGGGTCTAAAAATACTTAGGTACCTAACCATACCTAGGCCTACCTATTACACAAACGATTAAATGCTCTGATAGATGCATACACTGTTCGCACTACTCTGTGTATGCACCATGCACGGCCACTATGCATGCTATGCATTACCATCTTGCTAAAAATAAATTTAAAAAAATAAATAATGAATTATGAAAAAAGCCTAATGCTTTTCCCAAAATGTTCCAGACGCTAATCTAAACACTTTCATTTTCTTCATGCTCACGGCTTGATGAACATGACGAAGGGTGCCGGGTGTCAACCACTGATGTTTCCACCTAAAACATGTCATGCTCAAGCGAATTCTTTCTGCAAAAGGCATCCCTTACCAACAACAAAATCCAGTGAAGGAACCCCACTTGATACAAGTAATTGCCCATTCTGTAAAGATGGGCGGGTCCCAGGTATTTGCGTTACTTTCCCCCTTGTTTTCTTCTGGAAGCTTGTTGTAATTGTAGTCACTCCCGGTCTCGTTGCACTGGGCGCCGCCATGTTGGTTACGAGGCAATAGAAAGGTTTCTTTTTAGCCAGAAGAAATATGGGTATAGCATATACCCATATGCGCAGAACCCGCATTCTGGGTTCCAGACTTCCAGTTAGTCATAAACTCGCTGCTAGTCAACGAAGTGATTCTGTGGCACTGCTGCGAAATAAGGGTATTCTGGGTGCTTTTTTCTGTTCATTGTTTTCAAAAAAGCGTCATTTTAATGTCGATTATCCCAGGAGTGCTAAAAGACAATAAATACGTCAGCGTTGAAAACAAAACCCAGTGTTTTAAAGTGTGAATTGTGTATTTTTTATTGATGAAGTTTTCAACTACAATTTAAATCTCACATTTTCGTCTCATTTGTGGGGGTGGTGCTAGGAGCACACGGGCCACGGTACAGTTCAAGGGGCAATGTAACAGCAAATCATAGCTACAGCTTATGTAACTGACTAGCTGTTTTCATTTTAAGCTTCCCTGGTCGACAAAAGCCTACATCAGGGGCGGAGCCGGGATTTTCCAAAAGGGTTGGGGCGTGAGCCAGGATTTGCCAACGGGGGAGGGGGGTTGAACTAAACCAGCAATGGTAAAAATACCCCCGGCGCGAGCCAGGTAGTGCCAAGCCCGTAAGACGCCTTTCCATATTCGTTTTTGGCTTCGTTGCGTATGCGACGTGTTCATGCGTTTCACTTTCCACGGACACAAAAAACGACTCCATTAACATAACACACGTGTGCGTTGCGTTCAGCTGTCAAAATCGCCCCTGCAGCAGTTTTGACCAAAGGTTTTGACAGATGTGCAAGTGTTGACGCGCATATTTAAAGGCGACTTTATGACGTGGAAATTTTGGATTTTAAGTGTTCTGTGCACAATTCCAGGCAGGATGACCCCTCGCTTTTTCTTCCTCCCTCTTTAATTTCTTCTTTCTTTATTTAAATTTTGGAGTGGGAGGGTGCGCCCCCATGGCCCGCTGGATTCGGCCCCTGTACGTGGTCGCTTGTGGCCTCAACGTGCCAAGTACCACCTCCAATCACACTTCAAGAATTAACTAGTTCGATCCATAAAATTAACGAATAATTATTAATTACATGACTCGTCATCCAAAAAATGTTTGCCTTGTGTACAAGTTAAATTTAGACAATTAGCTCCTCTTTTATTAGAGTCAATCTAACCGATCACTATATAGAGAGCTGAAGTACACAAAGACAAATGTTATATTCACAAATGTTATGATTTATACATGAACTCGTAGTTATCAACTTATCAACAATGATACCTATGAGTGACTTTAACTTCTGCAATCGAGAACTGAGGTTTCTTAAAGGCATCAGGGAATAGAAATATTTTTATAAATTTTACTAAAACCCTTTAAATTGCATCTTTGGGTTTCAATTAACCTCATTTTCAATTTGTGTTGTGCAATTTTAACCCATATTTTGATACTTTTTTGTTTTATGCCAATACATATTTGCATATTCATGAGCAGAGCTATGATGTCATCCAAAGCGCTGCAATGTTGCACTGATTTGTGCACAGATATTTCTAGATTTTTTTAACCACTGCTATGACAGATTTTATTTTCTTTGGCAATTTATTGCTGTGTAAATATACGGCAATAATCAAGCAAAAATCCTTTTCACAGAAATGTTCCCAGAGAGTAAATTTGGGATTCACACTTTGCACATGAAAACATGCAACCTGAATCATGTCTTCCTGGATTTAAATCAAAGCAAAGGCGCCCTCACTTGTCCAGAAATGCTTGGTCAATTTTTAATGTTTAGAAAAGTGCATTGTTCAGTTCACGTAACTCAAACAAGATGTCAAACAGTCTTCATACATGGAAGAAGAGTACAGAGATACACAAAAAATGATTCTAAGAAAAATTCATTTCCTTGTTCCTTTAAACTTAAATGCAGACTTACCGGGAAATTTGGCAGGATTTGCACTGTGTTAAGGGTAACATGAAATAACACGGATACTGTGAAACAACTTACATAAAACTCTCTTTATCTCCGATACATGTACGTCACAGGGGTGGATCCAGGATTTTCCAAAAGGGGGCGTGATCCAGAATTTCTAAAGGGGGAGGTGAAACTAAAGTAGCAATGGTAAAATGCCTGCGAGCGCGTAGCGTAAGTTGTTAAACGAAATCGTTGGAATTAGAATTTTTAAAACTTGTTTTCAATTTCTGACTAAAAAGGTGCTAATAAAAGTGAATAAATGAGCTTGACTGCAGTGTGAGGACTTGGCTTGACTGAGGACTGTGTTTGACTGAGGACTGAACTTGACTGAGGACTGAGCTTGACTGAGGCTTGAGGAGAATGGACGCTGCTAATTCTCGAGGCGAACGTTTAAGAACGGACAGGTTTACATGCTTATTCCCTAAATAATTTTTTAAAAATGATAAATTGTACAGTGCTGGTGATCTTACACCAGAAAGAATGAGCGACGCTGTCCCTGGTACTGGGGAATAAAAAATGACGAAGCGTCTTGCCTGACGAGTTAATGGTGGGCTATAAAGGTTAGTGGCTATCGTTCTGTTGGAAAATGAACTACAGTTGTGTTGAAACCTGTACATGCGCATGCTGGCAATATATATACTACTGTTTATTACGGTTGAAGGCGCATGACCAGGACCCCGCCTATATATCTTGAGGATCCAAAGGACAATTGATGAAGTTTTCAGGGTACCGAAGGTTAAAAACGCGCCAAATTAATGCGCTGCCGTAACTTTCTTATGACCTCTTTGCAGTCCTTGCGAAAGCGCTTGTTACACATACCATAGACAAACACGTTGACCACACTGTTGAGGTACATGATATCGCGGAGAACGATCAGTGCGGCAATTGCATTTGCGTAGTGGGAGGACTTAAGGAAGTCTACGTACAAGTTGCCCTGCAGAGCGTAGATTTTGATGCACAGGTTGGGCAGCCACAAGACGAAGAGGAAGAAGGTAGTTATGAAAAGCATCTTGGTGATTCGGGATTGGGCAAGGCTGGGACGGCGAGGTCTACCAAGCGATGGCTGGGCCGAAGGGTGGTGAGGACCGACATCTTCCTTTATACTCTCTGTTGGATTCTGCAAGCTTACCCGTGTACCAATGATCCGAAGTTGTTTCTTGGTGTTCAAGGGAGCTTTACTTCTTCTGCCGACGAATGATTGCTGGGATGGGTAAGCCCAAGCATTGCAGATGTCAGATTTGGATTCTTCAGAGCAGCTGGGTCTGGCAGAATTACTCTGACTGACTTCAGAAGTGTAGGCAAGTGAAGTAACAACACTGTGCTGCCCTTGCTTAAAGCTTGTACCAGTGGCGATCTGTTGGGTTGAAGAATTAGGTTCAGGCTCTACGATGACTTGGTGTTTGCGGATAAAGACAAACACAGCACTGTAGAGGATGGTGACTGTGATGAGCGATGTGATGTAGAGAGTGATTGGGAGTAACTTGAAGAATGCGCGAGTGAATATGTCTATGTCTGCGTGATGCAGTTCCAGACCTTCTTGTATTTTGTTGACAGCTTCGGGTATGATTCCTACAAACCCGGCTATGAAGCATGCACCAGCCGTAACCTTAGCTCGTCTGAGAGTCATTACGCGATGGCGCGAACGGCAAACGGCATCAAAGCGATCGACAGCGATAGCCATGATCAGTAAGGCTGTGGTGTACAGAAAGCCAGTACTCAAGAAATAGACAACACTTTCAGCGTCGTATTCAAGGTACTGCGACACCGACGCTATGTTTATAGCGTCTGCCAATTTCAGCAGACAGATCATAACATCGGCTGTAGCAAGAGCTGCAACTAAAACATAAGTGGTTGTTCGGATCCTTCTGGAAGAGCAGACTCCAAGGATCATTACGTTTCCTGGTACGCCCAGGCAAAAAGTGGTCAGCCATAACGTAAACTCGGCCCAACGCGATACCTCAAGCTTCTCGATAAATGGCCAAGTTACGGTTGATCCGTTGGTAGCATTCATCATGACACTTATTGGACTAAGGTTCTCTGTTGAAGATTAAATTTCTGAGACCGAAGCTTATGCTGTGTTGTGGGGAAAACTACACCTTTTTTCAGAATGATCTTTTGTCAGACGTCTTTGACGAACACGAATTTACCTGTTCTGGGATGATTGCTTATAAATGATAAATTTCTGTTTCTTCGGTACAGTGTGGCCAGGCCACACCCACTCACAAGGTGTTATCTTGGAAAGTGATGTATGCAGCCAATGGGAGGCAGTTGCAGTACGTGCGCGCGCGTGTGACGCAGTATGTATGCGTCACACGGCCGTGATTTGATTGTTAAGACTAAGCATGCTGTGTGCCCCCGGGCTTTACGACGATTGTCTGCTTCATTTTGTTGGTTGAAACAGATTGACCTCAGTCCACGATGGGACACCTATCGGCATCGATTCGAAAACATGTTGTTAGAAACTGTTCCTTCACAAGAGAAAAATAACAACTTGTGATATTGCCCTATAATTAGAAAGCAAGTTTTCTTGTAAAGAGATGCACGACTCCGCGTTGATGGCATTGTTTCGATAATGATTTTGCGGCGCTATCCCTCAACTTCCCCTCGGGCAATTCGCAAAGCAAGCCGAGATCCCTTTGCCTACAAATTATTTTGATGGAAAATACACAATTAAGCACTACTTGAAGAAAAACAACTCCACGGTACCATTCTGAGAAGATAATGGCCAATCACCGAACATACCTCAAGCACGCTGCTCATGTTTGCGGAGCTGGATGGGGCAATGGGGGTTCCAAGCTCCTCAAAGCACAAACAGGAAGACTGACGACCACCTTCCAGTCTTGTCGAGAGACTGGCATTTTTGGCATTGGCGTCATGTTTGTTAACTGGATAGGGCTAGACTACCAATGAATTGAAGAAAAGGGCAGTTCCGAGGAAATTTAGTGTTTTCCACCACCTTTCCTCCTTCGCCCCCCCCTTCTAACTTCTACAGTCCTTTTCTCCAATTTTAGAAGGGAAAAGTTCAGAAATCGACAGACGAAACAGGCCGTATCGACATTCCCCTAATTTGCATTTGTTCTGTATTTTTTTTAGACGTAATCAACTTATAGCCAGGAATAGATGTGACAGATAACAGCAAAACGTTTGCTGTTGGACCAGAGTCCTGGAAAACTGAATCCGTTCCATTGGGGCAGTCGATGGGGAAATTCATTCGACGAGCACATTCGACGAGCATAGCCAGCTCAACGTATCACAGTAATCTTCTTTAGGTGGTGTTGACATCGACTTTATGCGAACGGAGATATGGACCAAAGACGCTGTTTGTACCTGTATGCCTGCCATACTTAATGATAATAAAAACAATAGTAGTAATAAAGAATAAGAATAATAATAATGAAACACTTATGCGCAGATATACAAATACACTCAACTGCGCATGACAATACCCATCACGAGCTGCAGTAATTAAGTGTTGGAAAAGGCTTCCTGTATAGATGAGTTTTTAGAACAATCGTGAGTGCGTCAACGGACTTGGCATTTCTTACACAAAAGGGCAGGTTGTTCCAAAGCCTAGGAGCTGGACAAACAAATGAGTATCCAAGAGTAGCCTTAGTTCTATGATAGGGATGGCTAAGGATCAACCTGCCGTGTGAACTGCAAAGACTGTACATAAGTACCTGGGATTTAGTGGCCAGTAATTCAGAGATGTAACCTGATGCTAAGCCATGCACAGCCTTATATGTAATCAAAGGTATTAACTGCAAAATGATCTGAGACAAGAGAATCTGACCATGGTTTACCAATTAAAATATCGTCTAACTGACGAGATATAATCACATCAAGTGTGCGACCACGTATATAAGTACAAAAGTTGCCATGTTGAGTACAACCAAAGACCCAAATAAGTTTCTGAACTACACTGACTCAGAATTTTCATTATCATTAATATGAACGTTAAAATCTCCTCTAATTACAACCGGTGTAATGCACAGCAAATTCTGACATAAATGAAGAAAATGAAACACGATGGCTGTCAGAATACGGGGTCGGTATATGTTAAAGGATTTCAAAATGGATGTTTTAATGATACAACATATTCAGCAAATTCACATAAATCCTTTTCCCGAGCAGCAGTCTCAGTGACATTCAAACAATCTCGCAAGGGTTTCCCCACCTGCAGATCTTGACTGGTGAACTAGATAACGTGGATGCTGCCATGATCGTCTTGTTCCCTGTAGACCCACAGGCAATGGTAAAACAACTTCACATGCTGATAGAAGGGAACAGACAATTTTCCTTCCAGCCTCAGTTTGGTCACATTACTTTGAATGATAGAAAGGAAAGATGGCTGCCCGCATGACAGAGGACTCCAGCCGCAGTGCGTCTATAACTAGGTTCATTCAGAGGCCTATAATAAACAAGGGGAAGGAAGTTCACTTGGAACCACGCAGATCAGGAAGAGTGTACAAACAACACTCTGATGGTCGATTGGGGCAAAGGCAAAAACTTGAAAGATGGTGTCACCGATGGTGACGCCGAATACGATGTAAGAACCACACATCTCGTAAAATTTCAAGTACCCCTAAGCACAGTTCGGAAATATCGGTGGCTTTCTTCCCCAACTTCTCCAATTAAGATCACAGAGCTTTCAAGTTGTCAGGCTTAACGATGGTATGCGGTTCTAGATTGCCAAAGCACGTCTCTCCTAGCAAGCTGTGCCCATCTTGCGGGTACGTGGGACACGAGTGTAGGCCTATAGGAAAAACCTTCTTTGTGGAGATTGAATGGACAGCTGCTGGACGGTCGAGGAGCGCACTGACTCGCCCACCACAGCAAGGAGCAAAGCGCTTGTTGGCCACGCACCTGCCATGCTATTCTCCTCTTACGACACCTTCCAGAGGTCCCTGACGTTGTCATTGAGAAACATCATGGGCTAGGATTCTTGACGACCTCATGCTTGTGTTTGAGGGCGGGCTTCTGGGATTTCGTGAAAGGCACGGAATAGATGTATGCCAAGGTGTAGCCGACCAGAAGGCTGGTTGATTCTCCTAGGTTTACCTTGAATTCGCATCACAGATCGTGAGTGATTCACGTGAAAAACATTCAACTCCAACACTGATGACTGTATTAAGACCCGTTCATACAACAGGTGAGTGTAAAAGCGAAGCGATCTCGACCACAAAAAATTGACATCAGAATTTCTTTCGAGTTGAAACGTGTTCAACTTTTAGGAATTCGCACTGCGAAGATTTGATCTGCCCTCACACATTAGCGTTTGTTTCGCTTTTGCGCCAAGTATAAACCAGGCTACCTTTAGGAAACAGCACTTTAAATCAAAAGTCGTGTTTATTTTATAACATTCCATGCACTAATTGTAATAGATTATATATAAGCTATTTCTCCGACATCAAATCTTGTTACGGACGTCTTTGGACGATACTTCACTACCATTAACAAATTCAAACGCTTTCAAATTGATATGCTGAAATTTTTAAGGTAATTTGGCAAGTTTTCTCTTTTGCATGTAACCTCCCAAAAAGCACCTGACAGATATCAGATTATATATATTAAAGATAGATAGATATCAGAATATATATAGGTATATATTATACCTGACAGATATCAGAGACTTCATGACATGGTACTAATGGACTCAATATTAGCTACTTTCATCTACCGAACTTCAATAGAGAATCTTTTTTTTTAGCTTCAAACCAAACACAACAGCAATGAAGCAACAGTTTCCAAATATTCCACACATTTTTCTTCGAACGTTTGTAGCCATGTCAGATCGTGCTCTAAGAAAACTATTTCTTGTTCTTAAACAAAGAAAAAATAAGAAAGGAAAACTCACAAAACTACCCATTTCTGTCAGGGCACTCTACGTCCATTGTATTTCTGTATTCATAAGCCAGAACAAATGCATTTCAGTCAACAAGTAGTACCACGAACATTTTATGGGACCAGTGCAGTGACATCATGGAAAGGACAGTCACTTTATGATGGTCGTGTCACAGCTTACACGAGGCAACTGGAAGATGATAATGCAATTAATACAATCCGCACCCTCCTATCATGGTTGGATGGTAAATGTCAGAGAAGGGAACCAGTCAGGCGAAGTGATAGAACTGCGTGTAATTATCCATAGCAGGTTTCTCAACCTTTGGGCCTTTCTCTGTGGCTCTTACTTGGTTTATAAGTGAGGGCGCACACATCACGGGGGCCAAAAGATCCGCGAAGACTGAACCAACAAGACGCGCGAAATGCAAGTACCTTGCTCTTGAAACCATCTAGCGTTCAGCACTGACTAGTTTGGACTTCAGTCGTCTTTGGTAAACTAGATCAGTATCTCATTGATTAGAACGTCTGATAGGATCTTCAGACAGCGCTCGAGACACCAACAGTGCTATAAACCCTCTCTCCGTGCACCTTTCACATGAAGAGAAGCAAAGGTTGAGTTGGTATGCTGACAGAAGATGAGGTCTATACTAGTGCAGGTTTCCATGGCACAACAGATTACTGGACTGCGTTAATTGGTAAGTATTCAATTTAACTTAATAATGATTTTGCGCTTACAGTTATTATTTCATTCATCGACCAATTTTCTTTTCGAATAAGGCAACGGATGCCTGAGTCTAAAGTAGCTAAATTCTATTAGAAATACACAATTTCCATGAAAATACTACTGTGTTGTATCTTGTTTAGTTTGACGAAAGAGTCCTGCTACACAGAAACTAGATGTATGACGTATGCTGTGCTATGAGTAAAGTCTTTGATAACATGGAATATTCGCAGATGTTTGAATAATGAGAAGAGAATGTCCCTCTCTTTTTGTTAATTTACTTCATAAGTAGAATAAAATCATTCGGTGTTTCAAAAAGTCAGGGTCATTCGAGAACAAAGCACACGCCACACTGACTGGGCAGACCTTATGCTGATATTGCTGTTCCACAGCCACTCCCTGTTGAATTAACAAACCAGCTTACTGTAGATTAATGCCATTGTCCTTGATTCTTTCTTTCGCTTAGTTAATGGTCATAAACAATTTATATATGACGCTGAAATAACTTACTCTACACTCAATGATAAAGCAGATATTTCAAAATACAAATGCAGAAGGCGTACCCAGTGGGGACCTTAACAACGGTGAAGAGCATGGTCAATATAAACATTCTCTTTCATCTTATCTCTCAGGGGAAATAGTGTAAAGAGGTTCATTTCTTCGAGCGCAGATGGGCTCCGAGGTATAATATATCGAAACGGAGTAGTTTGCTTTTAATATTGCACCTGCTAGAAATATCTGAACGATCAGATACAAGGACAAGGTGTTACCAAGGGGAATCGTCGCGGAGCTAAATTTACCATCGTTTCTCATCCAATCACCTCTTATGTCCACTATACCCACAGAGTACAGTCTAACGTATTGTTTCTTCATGTTGCACTTCGAGGTAGATTTGTATCATAAAGAGCTAAGGAGGCAGAATGTTATCCTGATAGCATTGCATATACCCAACGTGAAAATCAAAATGGGGCCCACGTGTGTTTTTTATGTCTTATTTAGGATCTCGCGCGTTGCAGTCACAGTCCACAATACCTATTGTGCTAATTCGGTAGAAAGTGTTCGTTACGGCAACAGATTCTTTGGAAATCATAGAATGCTGTACATGAAATGCATGTAGACAATGCCCAACTCACTCATTGGTTTTGTTTGCTTGTTTAGTTTGTACCACTTTGTGCAGGTCTTTCTGCAACTAACTCAAGATGAGCTATCGGTTTTTCACAGCTAATTTGAATTTTTAGATATTGAGTCACGGCAACGTGAATCGAAGACGAACAAGATGGATCTAAGTCTTTTATAGTCAAGACGGGGTATGATCATGTTCTTAATTGCTTCATAAAATACCACCCACAACCCTGGAAAATGGATAACTAAAACATCTGTGTCGTGTAAGTGATTTTATGAAAAGCATATTTACCCTTGATGATGGACAAATTTGTACAAGTTGAAGTCTGGACCGTGTTACAGCTCGTAATGTTTGCAAACAAATTAACGGCCAATTACAACCCATTAAGAGCGGGCGGAGAGAAACGAGTACCATTCCCATGCCAGTGCTAATTATCGCTGCCTCGTTGATCATGTTCTCCACTTAACTTTCACCTTGTAGTTGTTAATTCCTACTGTTTTGGATTCTTAACGTGAATGGTTGTGTGTTCCGTATCATCATGAGCCGTGTGGATATGAGAAATGATTGGCAATAAGCGTAGACAATATAAATCGAAAAAAAGCGTTATTTGACATAAGGTAACAGCAATTTAAATCTGACGAAACGGATAAAGACGTGAAGATTTTCAAGTCCACAGTTAAGTGCGTATATATTTCTGTGAGGCCCCGAACGCTATAGGCTATCAACTGCTCTCGATAAGCAGAAGGTCATGGGTTCGAGCCCCACCACATCAGCTGAGGAACTTTCTCTGGCAGAAAAGCTGATTAACGCCCCCCTCCCAAAAAATCAGCTTTTAAAATGCTAGTTATAGCGAAATATATACAAAACAAAAAGCTTCCCTCATACGTTTATACACAAGAAATGAGCTTAATCGTGTCAAAGACTCATTTTTAGTTTTTCCATTTTCTATAAGGGATATTTAGTCATTGGTTTATTTATTTGATAAAACAGACAGATGGCAGCCAGAGAGCTGAATTATCGTCATTACAAAAATGAAATAGAAACAAAATTGAATACAAATACATAATGTAATTATTACAACCTAAAACAGATAGTTATATTTAAAAGTGAAACCAGTTAAAGAGAATAACAACAAGTACAAAGCAGCTGGGGGCAAGTAAAAATGTATACAGGGGACCAAAGGAATCCCTCATGAAGAATTCTGTAGATTTGTTATATCTTTCAGTTCGACATTTGGGGATGACTTAAGTAGACGCATTACTAGACCGCAAATTTATGCAGATTCATGAGTCATGACAATTCCCACCTTGCCTGCAGTTCAGCTGATTAATTGTAACTTCTATTTCAACACGTATCTCATTCCCAGTATTGGTCATATCAGGCCGATTATTTTGTTAAACTGCCTTCCGAAGGCCACTTTATTTAGTCTCTGGTTCTGCGTTCTATTCGGGAAAAAATTACACTTTCACATTCGGACAGATCAACCTTAGCGACTGACTTTTGACCAATCATGCTTGGCGAGACGACAGGTTCTTTAAGTTGGCCCAGAAGCTTTACTAAGAAATCGAACGCCCGACTTAAACTGAACATCTGCCAGAAAGGGTCATTTTTAATAAAGTTAACTGACGGGAATTTAACGTAGATGACCAGTACAATGTTCCAATACCTTAGGGCTGCGTCTGAAGTCTGCATTGGTACCAGTACGACATATTCTCCTTTGTAGGGCTTGGAATCGGCCATCTAGCCGAATAAATTCACGGCAGAGCAGTACCTGAATCCAATTTCCCATGGTCTCGGACTCAGTCCGCTGCATATTCGTATCTTTTCACGTTTTCATTACCTACAGCCTCAAGTGATGGGTTTCTATGTATATGAAGACGAGGCAAATAAAAAACGGCTTATAAGAAAGGCAATTAAACTCGGACAAAACACGCACTGAGGTATATTTGTGCACCCCATTAAGCCTGATCCATTTTGCTTCAGAAAAGACAAAAATAAAACCATAGTTTAGGTGTAATCACCGAATATTTAATATAAAAACGTCTACAGCTCTTTATGGATGACTCTGTAAGCAATGACGACTTGTGTGGTCAAATCAACCACTCTGAATCACCAACTAAACAAGTTAATTTGGCTTGTAACCTTTACTTTACATGCTCAGATATCGTTTTTCTTCTGGGGGAGGGGTTAACTCATCTTCACTTTGGTTTACTTTTGACTCCATGAAATGACCATTCCCCGTGCGTCTATATTCGTAAAACTAATGATTCTGGACAATCAACGAGCTGACATTACATCACATAGGAGGAAACTTTCAAAGTGATTTTCGTTAGTAAAATGTCATGAATGTTTGCTATCTTGATATGTGTTTTTCCCTGTAATGTTTAGCGGAAGCAAACAAGTCCAAATGAAAAGCAATTATTGGTGAAGGCAGCGTGGCGTGAACGTGACTACTCCGTGTTCTCACACACGAGTCAGACGACCCCGACTTGGTGTTTAATTTCCGACTACTTAACGATCAATTAATGACTCCAACGAACTAATTTTTACCTGGATAGCCTAGCCTCGCAGGGGAAGTAGAAATGCAGGAAGGTATTATTTTCCACGACTTGACCTTAAGGAGGACAATTATAAACCTGAAAATTTACAAAATTTAAAACTACTGAGACTCAACGCCCACTATAACCTTCTCTCCCTCGACTTCATATCAAATCAAAGAGAGAGGATTCGGTCAATATCCTTGTACATGACTGTTTCCTCTGATTCGATTTTCAAGTTGCTCCAAACGCCTCAAAATAACGTTATTTTACATTATCTTCTCACAAAAGAATTCTGACGTACAGGTAACTTCCATAAATAAATAAAATACAAAAAAGACATCATATATTCCGTAAATTTCTCACCTAGAGAGTCAAATCTAACCCAGCCACTTATTGTCATTCCTGAACCCCTACCTTCCAAAAATGTTATTGTGTTTTCCTGTAAAAATTGGCAACTATTCAACTTTAACAGGCTGCAAAGCACGACATTTTTATATTAAATTAAGAAACCATTTCTGGAAGGATTTCAACTTTTCATTGAATTGAAATATCTTTTTCGTTGGCAGACACATGAGGCTATTAACGACACGAACTACACGTTAATCATTAAAGAACTGCTCCGCATCAAGTACAGTCAATAAACAGCTTTGACACAGCACCAAGGTAATTAAAGTCGACGGCCCCACGACAAGTTGCATCGGTGACCACAACTTCGTTGTTTCTACGAAAAGAAGGACGTTTCCTTAAGGTTTTCATGTCTTCAGTGGGTCGCACAACCATGAGGCAAGCTACTTGACACAATTGCTGACGTATTAACGACCAGAGGTCATCGTTCAAGAGCAACAAACAGGGGAGCTCCGCCTTTTAATTGATCGATTTCAACCATCTTGATCCAACGGATCACTTGGCTTACACTTGACCCAAATAGGCCAAAGCTAATCTAGTAAGAAGTGGAACAAGTGCCGGTGATTGGTAATTCAGTTGCTTCTCTCCTTTGCTTCTGACTCAAATTTTAGCTGAAAAGGAGCATCATATAATGCGAGAGCAGAATCACCGAACACCGATCGAAATCGACGCAAATTGCGAGTGACGCTCAGGATTCGGTTTACGTGTACAAACGGACCAATCGATACCATCTTTGCGGAAATGCCAACATGTCATAGTCAAAGAATCGATTTATTAAAGTAAAAAAAAAAACCTGGGAAGATCGAACACTGTAAGGGTTTATTTGAGTTCATCTCTTTGCGCAATTCTATAATCTAATAGACTCCATGCAAGGCGGATAGAATCTGAAAGATAATGTAATTTTAGACTTAACTATACGAACTGTCTGACGCTCGACTGGAGACTAGTTTGTAAGGAGAATTCATTACCGAATGCGCTTCTTGAAGCGAGACTAAAACGGTTCGTTGCTACGACGTGCGCTTTTGTAGCACAAAGATTCAAACGTTAGTACGATACCACTTTGCGGCACAATCTTAAACAAAACTATACATCCTGAGTGGATTAATTTTTGAGCACAGCTTCCTGAGTGTCCCTTGTGGGACGTGCGCTGCACGCGATTGATATTACGATTGATTGTAGACAGAGTTACCACGGATCTCAGCGCGTACTTATAAGGTTCTTGGTTTATTGGCTGTACATCAGAGCAGCGTATCTCACGAGCTAGACTCTTCCTTCGCTAAGAGAACTTTAACGAGTAGGCTTCGATTTGTGTACGTGATTTTTCAAGGAGTTAGCCAATAAACGTTATAGGCCTACAAGAGGTAATTTCAACACCGCCACTGCTGCTTCCGTTGTCATACATGGTTTTGAATACAACTTGGTATAATCTTGGTTGAAATTAAAACAACTTTCATTGCGAGATGGATGAAAACATAACTTCCTCATCAGAGATCTCAGTTGCCATGGAGACTACTCATCAGGCAGTGTCCTCCCTGCCTAACAACACTGACACTTCTTCAGGTGTGTACGTGTTGGGCGTGGTCTATGGCATCATTGGAAGTCTTGGTATCATTGGTAATGCCTTAGTTTGTACCATTTTCCTGACCAGACGGAAAGTATTTGGATCTTCCACCAACCTTCTGATTTTGAATCAATCCATGATCGACCTCGTGGATTCAATCTTGTATCTCATTCTTCGATTTGGTCCCCAACTATCGAATCAGAAAAATGACATTTGGGACGAGCTAGCTTGCAGGATTTGGTTCTCTGAGTATATCATTTGGTCCCTGTTTGTTGCGTCCACAGTCAACCTTCTCTTCGTGTCTCTGGAGAGGTACTTCGCCATCTGCCACGCCGTTAAACACCGTAAGCTTTTCACCCCACGACGCGCTAACATTGGCCGTGTTATCGTCTGGGTTACCGGATTCTTGTACCAATCCTATTGGGCCGTTCTGCATACCTTTTCCGAAGATGGTTGCTACGCAGTGTGGCCCAGTCCAACCATCCAAAAAATTGGCGGGGTATTCTTCTTTTCCTGTGAGTACCTGATCCCACTTTCCATCATGTGCTTCAGCTACGCTAGTATCGTAATCATGCTACGCAAAAAGAGTAAACGCGACAACACGCAGGTAAACACATTCCATCGCGCAAAACGGAACGTGACGTTGACATTATGCGTGGTTTTCCTATCTTATACCGTGTGCTGGACACCCACAGAGATCGCTTACATCATGTACAATCTGGGAGGCCACTATGACTTCGAGAGCACCTTGCATCGGATCTTCACGGCCTTCGTGTTGGGTAACATGTGCGTGAACCCCATCATATACACCTTTAAGTATGAACGTTTTCAAGTAGAACTGAAGAGAATTTTCCTACGAAGAAATCGTGTGGGAGACTCCAGCGTTCTTGACGTAACAGCTAGAACTCAATTACAACCCGGGTTCCAGAACTCAGATCAAGACGGGCCGAGTACAATTCGTTAGCCTGTGACATTACAGACCTTGTAATCTTACCAACAAAAACCTTGGACAAAAAATAAGGTTTGTCTCATTCATCACAGAGAATTAATCACTTGTAGAAATCTGCTTTCAAAAATGTTAAAGCTTTGTGACTTGACTGATAATATATCGCAACTTGGTGGAATGACAGACAGACAACCCTGACTGACAAACGGACAAGTAATATACGTTAATTGCTCTGAAACAATGTCTTTGAATTAGGCCTATACAGAATATCAGAAAGTACCTACCATTCAATGTTCTGGACAATAATTGATAATCTGTGAAGACTGTGTTAGTGTGATATAGTAAGTATTAAGTGCTCACGCCGAATAATGTGCACTCACTTTGTCGTGTGATAAACATTTGGCATTTTTCAAGCGCAAACGGACAAATGAATATCACAACTCTTGTAAAGTTGTAATTTCTAGCATTTAGGAGCACATCAAAAGTTAAGACCGCTGCAGTATAGGGGAACAGTGCAAAAACGCACAGCGCCCTCCAGCAAGCGAAATAGCGACAATTTATTAATTTGTGAGATTAAGATATGCTATTTAAAGGTTGCTAAGTAATTTAATATCCTATATCGTGTAGAACCGTGACTACGAAAAACAGACTAAGTATAGTGTGAATATCAAGGTGTCTGGTTATCTGAATTAATGGCATTATACGGCAGTACACTTTCTTACAGCGACAGATAGGGCGTTAAGTTTGCGTACAAAAATAGCTAGAAAACAATACGAGTCTTGCACCTCACGATGTTGTGTCGACAAATATTTAATATTTCTATGACAAAATATCTGTTATACAGGACAACAGCAAATCCAATTTTTCTAAACCTAACTAACTTCCACCCTCAAAAAGGAAAATATAAATCGCGCGCAGGTGTTTTTGTACTTAGGTTAATAGTTAATAGCTATAGGCGAATGTAATATTTCAGAAACTTCTGAAAATCACGGTAACTTCAAGAAAGGATCCCAAGTCCTCTCAAAACCATAGAGATATTAAATTAGCTCAATGCCAGTATTGGAATCGAGTCCTAACATCAGAGTACACAATATTCTGAGTACTTTTAGAGGCCGAGTCCAAAGCCGAGTACAAGCACACTGATGACGAGTCCAAGTCCTAAGCACCAAGTACGAGTACATTCAAGGCCGAGTAAATGTATATTGGGCCGAGTCCAAGAACCAAAGTCTGAGTCCAAGTCCGAGTCCAAGTACTTGTATAATACCAAGAAGGTAAATAAACAGCGCAACGATTTCCTACAGTAGACCTAAACGCAGTAGGGGCAGCCTGAACTAGTCCAGCAGAAAGGTTCTCTGTAACCAGGGTCCGGTAAGTATACCGTGTAACAGATTACAGAGTGAAACGGCTGTGTCGCACTGTGTGATGTTCAAGATTGAGCAATGCAATCTTTGCTCATCACCAAGCACCCGAACATGCTATAGATAAAAAGTGAAGTACTCGAGTACGAGTACTCCATTACTGTTCAATGGTCAACACTGCTCAATGCTCAGAACACATTTCTTACAGCAGACACCAGTATATATGTTGAAACAGCGCCCTCCTCTAACAGAGATGACCATACGACTGCGAATTGTGAACACGAAGACCTGTTCGATTCAAAGAATCGATTTACGAGTTGACCTGATGCCGAAGGAAAGGTTGTACTACAACCAGACAAATAGCTCCTCGACTAATTATATCTTCCTAGCTTTCCTCGTCTGTCAGCACAGACAGCATCGAGAGCTCGATAATTAGTTTATAGGTGTTTTATTTAATCAACAAATACGACAGTCTCTCAGGGGGTAAATTAAGCGGGAAATTAAGTTGTGCATTTGGGTTCATGCACAGCGGCAAGAGAACGTTAATTAGCTTGCCGCTCAATGAGGGGTAAATGACTGTCAATAGAACGTTCAGCTAACCCGTAACGGTTCGATATTATCAACACATTTAATCCTGAGGGTGGGAAGGGAATTTACAACAGTCGTCGATGGTGGCAGACTCCTAGATTCACAATCGGCGTGGGGGTACTTTTACATAGCAAAAAGATTGTCGGGTTTACGCTTGCATTGATCAAACAGGCCAATGCTTCTATTGTTTGAACTTCAACTAGAAAGATTATTCGATACGTCGTGTATCGAATTTCGACAATAATTCTCCTCTTCAAATTACTGGTTTGAACAACTTGAGTATGTTATACTATCAAGTGGACGACAATTCGAAATATCTCAGGATGAAACGGAAGCAAGCAATTTTAGTGATAGAGGGCGCATTATTATACGTCGTACAAAAGCGTCCTACATCATCAGACTTGATACCGCCAAAACAAAACGAATTCAACATTTCTGTGGATGACCACCTTTGACCTATCACCTGAAATTTTCAAAGTCCAGCATTTCCGTTCGAGTGTCTCATGTGAGGACAATAATTTTCAGAGTTCTCTTCACAAGGAGCAGGCGTTGCACCTTGCATGACCCGTGCTTACTTTCTCTTATGCGCTCGATAACTGTTACCATGACAACTGTTTCCATGTTTCCTTACTTGTTTGTGAAGTAATTAAAATAAATATTTCACAGCACTTAAAAGTTCAAGATAGGGTTCGTAAGCGCTTTGACAACGGGAAATTGCAGTATAAATTATTAAAGTGTCTTCATACGGAAATAGTTGGGGTCACATTCTTTAAGACTGGATGCGAATATATTAGGCAAAGTAATAAAAATAAATACAATGAGCTCTCATTGGTTCTAAATATAAATTGAAAAGTTGACTTGTAAAATCACGTACAATAAACACAAGATAGGCAAATTAGACTTAGATAATTTTTGTTCAGCGAATACAAGCAGAACGAAAGAAAAGTCCTGCCCACATCTGTCATTGATTTCTGACGGCAAGTGTAACAATGTGCCTGGTGTGTACATCCACTGATATCGATTTTGAATAAATCACAGAGTAAGGAACTGTGTGTAATTGAAATTAACATTATCCTTATTGCTTTTACAGAAATTGTGATGTTTTTAGGCTGCAGTAATTTCCACTAACACACAGCACATTAAAGAGCTATCTGAGACAGTAACTTAGAATGAAAAGCATAGTTCTTGAGTTGCAGGCCTAAAATTGGGCTTACTTGCGAACATTCACGATTTTCTCACATTAAAATGGAAAATGGATCGCTCGAGTTCGACAATAGGTTAGTGAACTCTTATGATGAATCTGCATGGTAAATACTTGATGAAATGCCCTTGAGTGCTGATGGTACAGATTATGCGTTCATCCGTGGGTGGCAAAAACCACTTACTTGAACCAACGCCTCGAGGAATACGTCAGGTGCAAACTTATTTCTGCTCAGGCGTTGTTTTTTGTGTAAAATTTGCAAAGTGAAAAGGGTACACGATCTGACGCTGCGCTGGTATCCATTTGCGTTTGGGTAAGTACATCGCATTATTACCAGCGATAGCTGATGTAGCGTATGAACGCCTCGGGCTCTGTACAGGTGGCGACAACATGGAGATGTCAAATTTAATAGATACACAGAGAAGGGAATGAACTTTCTTGAGTAACAACACGAATTCCGAATTAATTGAATTTATAAAAAATATCATATCTTTTACAGCCACGAGCACAGATAGTTGGACGAATTTTTAAGCTGCATATTGCATGTTGAACAATAAATAAATAAATTAACCGTAAACGCGTTTAGTAGTTATGTTGTATGAGTTGCAGTGAAGTTATGCGAATGATTATCATCATGATATTTATTCCTGATATAGCACACCCATACTCAGAATTGTCTATTTTCAATTTCATAATGAATTAGTGAGGAAAATACTGATGGCATAGATTGTTTACAAACTGACATCACGGCTGAAGGCAAAAACAATTCCTTAAGCCAACTGAATTTCGTTTCCATTGAACTTCCTTTAAACGCTAACAACTAAAATTATATTATAACTTGATTTCAAATTTGTGTTATCGCTAAAGGATTTCCCATATCCGCTGCCTTGATGACAATTCCCGGATTTACTAACTAAGCCTCAAGGCCCTTTTGATAAAACTACATGTTTTAAGCAAGCTTCTACACTGCAAAACCTGGGGTGTTTTATTAACACCCCTGGTGTTATCAGAGAACTACACCAACACTTTTCCCTGGTGTTAAAAATTTGTGTGTTATTTGACGTTACTTTTTATACCCTCCAGTGCATTGTAACAATAAGTGTTGATTTTAACACCACATTTTTTACAGTGCAGATTTGTATCAGATTTGCTGATGCAATATCGCTCCGTGTTTTTTGCTGGTCATTTCCTTGACAGCCCTTGGTTGATGACCGTAATACGGGCGATTCACAGTAGTGCGCCTCCAAAAGTTTGCAAAGCGTTGGCCAATCACAATGCGCGAATCTGTCGACCCAATGCGCGTTCGGAAAGGGTCAACAGATTTCGCGCATTGTGATTGGCCAATGCGTTGCAAACTCTTGGAGGCGCACTACTGTGAATCACCCGTATTGCGTGCTCGAAGATGGAGTAATGATTGTCATAACTGAACAGAAGTAACACCTGGCGAGTCGAAATGAAATATGATCGGTTTCAAACAGCATTATTTTTTGGAACAAACTTTGTATGTTGCGATTAATTCCCACATACAGTGTATTCAATCGATGTATTCAAACAAAGAATAAGATCTGGTTGGAAAGATCAACCTTCTGACGTTGAGAAAATATGGAATAGAACGCTTAACGACAACTTTTTTCAAATTTGTCCTTTTATGAAACAGCTGTCAAGCGGTCATCCTTAATTGAATAAGAGTGTTGAAGCTTGCTTGAAAAACAAACGGTCAACACCTGCTAGTTATTGAATACTTCTGTCAGTAGTGAGTAAACACTTGGTTAGTTAGTTTGAAGACGGGGGGCAGGTAATTAATTTCAAACAACAGGCTCCGAGGGGACAGAGTTGGAACAAAATGAAATGACCTCGCCTATTGTCCTCTTTGTTGATCAAATGAGTGGACGATTAAATGTACCACTGACAACAGATATCAGAAAGAGATCACTTATATTGGTTAGTATGGCGTAATCATTTTTTAGTACTTTATTGGTGTTATCTCACCAGAATTAAATAACTCAATGATGTATATTTATTGAAGATAACGATAGACCTTTACATGCATGTATATGTTGAGTACACATGAGTTTCCTTTTTATCCACGCACCGGTTTCACTTCTAATTGACCGTGAAACACTTGCAGACCCTGCTCATTTCCCAAACATTCGACGGTAATGTCGAGACATAAAAATTAAGCACAGATGAAAACAACGTTGAAAAGAAAACAGGACGAAAAGTTGCCGGTAGCCAAGGTCAAAGGTCAGTGCTTATTTCGGCTCATCATCGCTCAATTATCTTACCACCCCGGAAAGCCTTTCACTAAAATTCAGAATAGTTATGACGCATATCAGACTAAATCAGGTCAATAAATGGCGGGCGTAGAGTTGGAAACCATGGTAATGTCACAGACAGAAGTGTAGTCGATCGGACCTTGATCTAATGCAATCTGGAAATAAGCATCAAGGGGCAAACAATATTAAAGGTAGGAACAGAGGAAAATAACAGTGCTGAGCACTTTCTTGACTGTGCCGTTTAGGAATCGAACAAATAATGGAATACCTCCTGAAGGGCTAGGTAAGATTTCAAAGGTTCAGGAATTCTTCATAAAGCACGCACTTAGGCCTAATCCAAGTGACACGTCAATTTATAATCTGCTCCAAATTTCTTGCGGTAAAGACAACATCTTGAATTCTAACTTCCCACTTTGACACCTTGTGCTCTCCATCAGCTCCATGCATTGCTCAAACAGCATGCATCTGTAATCAATGGAAGCTCCTGACACGATACCAAAGTGTTAGATTGGTTGCAGTCAGTCAGAAAGTAAGTGTAACGCATAATTTACACCTGCATGCTCTTGATTTTGCTCATGTGGTAGCCAAATATTCAAGCATTAAAAAAACAACTGGAAAATCGAAGGAAAATCACAGAAACTGTAATCAGAGAGAATCGCAATGGAAAAGATGTCCAATCAAGGAACTGTTAACACCGCACCTTGTGCTAGGAAATTCTCTTAATTGTAATGGTGGTACGTTAAAAGCCATCTCATTTAATGAAGTCACAACCCACAAGGCCTCCAAATTGAAAATGTAATTACTGACATGAAATGTTGGAAGGACCAGAGAGCCATAAGTGTCTTAATTATTGTACACCTTTGAGGCCTTGAGGGGATTTTGCCACACTTTGGTGAAGACTACTTATACAGAATTTCAATGTCATTTATACACGAAATGAAAAACTGTAAAAGCACAACCAAGAACGGTCGTTCGAATATCTTTTTTTAATCGTTTAACTTAAATCACAAAAGGATCATAGGTTAAGGGAAAACATGCGTGAATTTTCCAGATTGTTTTTTAACTGGACGTGGACCTATTTTTTTCTTTTTATTTCTCCAAAGATGGACTGAAGATAGAACGTATTACATTCGAAACCTCTGACAAAATTTTGGTTCAAAACAACTGCCAGAAGAGTCCAGTAATCTCCAAACAATCAAAATTTTCAAATGTATTTTTAACATTTTTGTTCTAGTGTATCTTCACTTTAAGCGAAAAGATAGGCATCTGAAGGTTAACAATGAACGAGTGATTTGTTTACTTGCCCTTAGACACATTTAATTAAGTGACTCATTAAAATGCATTTTTAAAAAACCCAAACATCCTTTGACTGTTGTATCATGTGAATATTGGCTCTTAGGATGTAATAATATCTCTTTCCACCGTACGCACTTTTGACCTGCCTATAACGACGCGCTCCACACGCTCAGCTCAGTATCGATTACCGGTGCTTCAGGTTTCGAAAGATGACCATTGTCTAGCAGATGCCATTGATTCAAACAGCCGCAGATTGTGACGCCTCATTCAAAAGCTTCGTTTCCAAAGACTTGTGCACTGCAGATTTCCATCGCATTTTGAAGCACGCGTGCGAGAATTTCAGCGGCATATGTATCGACCAAAAATATGCATGTAGCATGTAGCATCCAGCTCAAATAGGACATTTTGGCCTTCTGTCATTGCTTTATGGTATTTTAGCATTTTAACTGCTTCCAAAACATCTGTCATGTAGAAAGCTTTAAATAACAGAAATTGTAACAAAAATATTTAGCATTGTAGTTATTTGGTGGGTAAGGTTTTTCTGTGTCCGTTGGACCTTGATAATTTACCAAATTTGCGCCACAAACTACTAGCCATGCGCAATAGGATTCCTTCATGATTACTTGATGTAAACCCACTACCCCCCCCCGCAACGCCTTCAAGCTTATTTGGCCTCCCCGGCTGACAACCACATTGTTTGATATCTCGTGAATGTCAAAACTCATTATACATTGGCCAGCGTTCTTTTTACTTCCAATGTAATTACCCCGGCGATATATTTGTCAATACTGCTGCGTGATGTCGCAGCCATTGCTATGATTAAAGTCATCTCAACTTGATCATTCCAGCTTCTCTGTGATTCCCAAGTGATTGAGGTATTGTAGATGTAGTGAATGACTTCCACGCAGCAGCGTAACCGTGATACTAAGTATACCTCCTGTTAAAAGATTCACAAGCCCACCAATTCTTAGATTAATGTGACCTCGTTAAAAAAAGGGAAAAATTACTAGCCTGGCAGTATCGTCTCAATCAGGGATGCCCTTTTGGTCTAAAAGCGAATTTACGTTAAAGTCAACTGTCTTGCCTTTGGACTTCAAAGCAATAAACAGTTTTTACAGATGAGTTTGAATTCATATTGAAAACTCGGCTGGATTCCGCCACTGATTTTAGTGGAGATTTGCACCTTATAAGCACGTGAGTAGCCTTGATAATATCCAACTCAATACATTTTGGACCACTTTCACGAATGAAGCTATGAGTGTGATTAAATTCAAATTACTTTACATGGGAAACTATGATCAGAGAATTTAACGGCTGCAGACTTAAGCTAGTCTACCCTGTCAAACCATATTCGTGTACTTTACAAATTACTAAGAGACCTTTGAAATCCTTTGCGCCCAAGGACAGAATTTTCAATTTATAACCATGTATCGTAGTTAACGACCGCGCTCTCGTCCATTGGGAGACAAATTTCCGTTTCGTTTTCAGTAATCAACCATCAACTTCACGTTAATGTGTCTGCATGGACACATTTGTCATGAATGCTCATCGAAGACCCAAGATTCATTCTCATAAACATTCTGTTTGAGGCACATGAAAGTGTAATCCGAACCAATGAAACCTTGCTAGATAAAAAATGTTGGGGATAAGCTTTGCAAGTTAGGTGCAATGTTTGTGTTTTCAGAGCAGCAAGGGGAACAGGGAACTATAACGTGTAGAGACGGATCTGGTCTGACGGACTGGTGTTTAATAATAAGATTTTCCCAAAGTAACATCCTCCTGGAATTTATCTTAAATTACATTCCTTAAATTCTACTGGGGCATTTTCTGTTTTTTTTTTAATTCAAATATCAGAAAAAAACGGACAGGTTAAAACCGACAACATCGAAGACATTTTTTATAAAAGTGCAATTACGTAAAATCTAATTTCCCCCAAAATCTACTCCTGGTAAGCGACTTGTGTCAGTTATAGTTGCCACAAACTTTGGAATGCAATCATAATTAATTCGGGGAGGCAAGGTCAAAGCGGCATATCAATTTCTCTACTCGTCTGAGGAATAACGGGTGAGAACATTTTCTCAAATTATTATAACAATTTCCTTATCACTGTACTCGGCAGCCATTTCACACGCAGTGTTATTACAAACGAGACGGGATCTTAATTCAAATCATAATATCAGATCAAAAATTCAAACACCAGAGCAGCCTTAGGTTTGGGCTCGAAACAGTCACAAGTTTGTATTTTACTTAAACTTCTCAGTCCATAAGTAGGAATGGTAATCCCTTTTGAAATAGAAGTTAAGTTGTTTTAATAAAACCTGACCACACAAGAGCGCTGTTCTGTGATTCCTCAGAGAAAAAGGCAAAATTGCATGCAACCAAAATGACTTTATATTTTGGTTAATTGGTAACACCACCCATCACTCCATGTCACTCCTCTTTAATGTACCCTAATGGAAAGTTCACAAAAAATAATATCTCACAACGAACACCACATTTAGTCAATGCACATGATCGAAAACATCCCCTATGGAATTTAGAAATAACTTGCTTATGTGTGATTTTTGAGGGAACTTTTAACTTTGAGGGATTTTGGTCTTTCATTGATCATCGATTAATCGATTTCTGGAGGGCATATACATGTGTGACAAGAGGCCCACAAAGTTAATAGTCGGTACATGTATAGATTTGTCGGATGTGACAAGAAAATGAAAAAAAATGACTGAATGAGCACAAATGCCTACAAATTTACATCAGTGCGCAGCTACGTCACAACATCACGTGTAATCTCCATCAAGCTCGACTTGACACACGAGTATGATACCGGTCGCACAATGACTAACGCGTGATTTGCTGACTGCTGCAGCTAGAGTGGACTCAGAGAAAGACATAGACATATCAAGTGTTTGCTCAAAACTGTCATGCGTGGAATGACTTAATTGTGTTGTTCTATATGTGACAGCAGTCTCCAGTATCAAACTGAGATCGAGTCTTCGGGAGAAAGAAGGTATCTCCACACGATACATTTTACGAGGGCCTTAGGTAAATACACATTGTATCAAAAACGTTTTATACGAACACTGTTGCTTCTAGCCACTGGAAAGCAAGTACATTGTGAAACTTTTGCTCTGTTTAGGTGCTGGAGGTTCGGTGAGCATGTTACAATACAGCAACCTGGCATTAAGAGTCGTGACTGGTACATGTAAACGGATAAGCCATTCTGTGTTCACGTTATCTCTCGGTTGCTGTTCTTATTTGCATAACGGATTCGGTCTGTGCTCTGCGCAGGCCGCCATAACAGCCGTCTCGCACAGTATGTTTACAGACAGTGAAAGCATTTTGTGTATTACGTAACTTTGTTGATGATGCGAAAACTCGACAGCAAACGACATCTTTTGCTTCTTGGCGATTCTGGTTTGATCCGACGAGCTACTGATTGATACCAACATTGGTATCAGAATGTGGGTAATCGATGCAACGTGGCGACAGTATAGCAGTGATCAAATTGCCCAGACGTCGATGACACATTGATGAAAGCAACACGAAGGTATGAAAATCGTCACGGTAGGGTGTACTACGTCACTAACTCACGGTTACCGCAAGGAGCTGTGTCATTTTTCTCTTTGAGGCCAACCGGAGGTGCCGTTACCTTTCACACGCTAGTCATCGAACAGAGCAAACCCGTCAACAAACCAGCCGAGAAAATCACACAATGAGCCTCGTGCAACTTTCACCGTGTACGCTGGACGCTTCTTTGGCGTCAGGCAGTTTCCAGTGACATTAATCAACAAGTCAGTTTGGTGTACATTTTTATTTCCTTTACTGGATACCAATCCGTCACACAGTCTTTGTGGGGGCACCGTTAAACAGCAAAACGGCCAAATTGTAGCTAACATAAGCAGCAATTAGAACATTCTGCAAAGCATTACACGAAATCAAGGCATGCAAGGCAACATACGCTGGCCAGACAATTTATTTTTGACACCATTCGGATCATGTTGTGTGCCAAACTGCAGTCTTTAATCCATCAAAACGACGTGCACGATGCCCGAGTAACGAAGGAGAATTGCTGTTTTGGTGCAAACGAACTGCGGGAATGTTTATAGTTATACTTGCATATCTCACTACCGATTAGAAAACTCGTTGGAGGCAGCTAATTTTCTGCTGTAATTTGCTGACCAGCACGACAGACATACATCTTGAGAATATCTGTGTGCCCGTTGGAAATGGTGAGAAATGCGTCCTACAACTTCACAAATGTCACCCTAGTTATTTATCACAGGTGGTTGAGTCGCAAAAAAATTTCCAATTCACACACTGTGATAACAATATTCTACGTGTGTACGTAGGCCTATATCAAGGCTAAATCATGGCTACCATAGATTTCAGCACTACGGAAGCTTTCGTCACCGAACCTGACACAACTCTGGATAATGCCAACAGTACAGCACAGAGTGACGACACTCCCTTTACCACATGGGAAATACTTCTGCAGGTTCTTTACGGACTTATCGGTAGCTTAGGAATTCTGGGCAATGGATTGGTGTGCTTCGTGTTCATTGCTAAACGCAAGTCTTTCGGCTCGATAACAAACCTGCTGATCTTAAATCAATCGTTAATTGATTTGGGAGACTCTATTCTGTTCTTAGCGATACGGTTCGGATATGTCGCGCCATTCAATGACGTCACAGTGTGGGGAGAAGTTGTTTGTCGCTTATGGATTTCTGAATATTTCATGTGGGCCCTATTTATCGCTTCGACTGTTAACTTAGTATTCGTATCCCTGGAGCGATACCTGGCAATATGCCATCCAGTTAAACATAGGAATATCTTCACCAAACGAATAGCCAAATTCGGAATGGCCCTTGTGTGGATTATTGGGTTGACATATCAAGCGTACTGGCCGTTCATACAGTTCTACGCAGAGGGAGAGTGTTACCCTCTTTGGCCAAGCGTAATCCTGCAGAGAATCATGGGAGTTGTGCTGTTCCTTTGTGAGTTTCTCATCCCTCTGATCATCATGACATTCTCCTATATCAGAATTATTATGGTGTTGAGAGGGCGTGGCAATGGCAAGATAAGCAACACATTTCAGCAGGCCAAGAAGAACGTCACCACTACTCTTTGCCTCGTTTTCATGTCTTACGTAATTTGCTGGACTCCAACTGAGTTCACATTTCTCCTTTTTAACTTAGGCAGAGAATATGACTTTACAAGCACAACACACAAAGTAGTGACAGTAATGGTCTTGTGCAACATGTGCGTGAATCCATTCATTTACGCCTTTAAATACGACCACTTTAAGAAACATGCAAAGAGAATGTTTTGCCGGTGTTGCCGTAGCAACAAGGTTGAAACCGAAAACTCTATAGCAACCGTGGACGTTAATGCCATTTCCTCTCATCCCCAGTGATGTGTTACTATTACGACACCTTATCAGGTCACAATAAATGGTTAAAGTCAGAACACGTGATCGAAAACAGACACAAATTGAAAATGATACCAAAAGCTTGAAACATTAAGCTTTGCTTTCCCAAGTAAATCGCACTTTAAGACAAGAATCAGGAGAATTTACATGATCCTTTTGTTAGTGTAAGTATAGAAAAAGACATTTCGTCGGGTCAGTGCGATAAGGTCGTTACGGCAGTAACGACTTTATAGCACTGATGATTTTAAAAATTATTTTAGGGCCCTTTACTAAGCATGAACGAATTTTATAAAGAAACAGATAATGTTCCACATTATTTCATTGATAAAAATCATTTGGGGGACTGTTTCTCAAATCTTCACCAGGACTTTGCTTGTATTTCAAGTTTGAAAAAATGTCATTAACGACCTTTCAGTGCGAATATTTTGTTAATGACCTAATAGTACTAATACGACTTCATCTCCTAGCTTTATTCTACAGAAGACATGAAGATCTTGTTACTTGTAACTTGTTCTCCTATTTCATTTTTTAAAAGCCAGACCACCTAGGCCTAAAAGTATTGAAACCTTGCAAGAGATTTCGTCTTTCTCACCTTGAAAGTCAAGCACTTGCGCTACTGAACCAACCGAAAACAGGATGTGAACCTTTAAAGCCGCGACCAATTTTCAAAACGTTCGTGGTGTACAGCAGAGACGACAGCTGACGGCAGATGTGTTCCACAGAATTGCTCAGCAAAGTTATCAATATGCAACCTACTCAATGCCAACCACTACCATCAGGAAAAATTCAAAAGGCAACATTAATACTATTTGTATTCATATGCACTCTCTATCAAATAGACTTACGACGAGCAGTAAGAGCTAGGTTTATAATCCATGGAGAATTAATGTCGATATTTGGTGTTGTTTTGTCAGCAGCCTCCACGTCTACAGGCCCCTCAGTATTAAGTCAGTTTTTATCCATTTATTCATGCATGCATTTATGTCCTTTCTCAAGATGCAGGTAGTTTTAGTTGCACTTTTTAGAATAACCACTTGAATATTTAAAATGATCTAAGTAAATAAGGTGAACACTTTCCCAGCGTGGATGATGCCTGTATATTATATGTCTTAGGAACGCAATTGTTGGTAACTTGAGTTGATTGACTCTAGAATACACCATCCATGGAGATAAATTTGGTCTTGAATTTTGGGTAAAACTGATTTTTTATGTCAGTCACGTTATTTGATGGAAGAAAATACGATCGCAAAATTCATGGATTTTTCCATCAAAACATTCGGTCTCTCATTTCAAATTCTCTTGGACAATTAATATACGCTGAGATTAATGCGTGCTGTCAGGACCAGCGCTTGGTAATAACCAACAATGCAGCAGGACTATTAAATACGTCCGTTTAATCGATCAAAGTTCCAAATCATGCAGGAGAAACCTCGTGCTCTTGGCAGGAGAGACATCGCACGCAGCGTTCCATCGTTTAGCGAAGAGTCTGAAATTTTAATTCGTTGGACTCTGAGTGTTGAGAGGGCTTCGTTTATTTCAGTTGTCAAAATAAATCTCAACCGCCTGGGGACTGCAGAAATAACAAAATCAGATTCAGGGCTTTCGCTGGCAGAGCCTGGAAAATGTTATCAGTGACAACATACGTACCGACATTAATAGCTGTTTCAATAATGGCAACACGGCTTTGCATATAAGATACAGTGAAATAGTAGAAGAAATGAAAACAAGAATGAATTGGAATCGGTGTACGTTGCATTAAACAGCACATTGTGTGACAAAGCCTGCAATTTAAATTACAAAATAAATAACTACGTTTGGACACATTATTTGCTGTCAATGCTGAATGTATTTTTTCTTATTCTTGAATCACCTTTGTGTTGTTGATTTAACCGAGGCAAAGAGTAATCCCAGACGGTGTACTCGTATCTTATTATTGTTTTGTATATTACTTTTTTCCGTAGAGGGAATTTCATTTATTATCATTCAGGATGTATTTAATTATGCTTGTGACATCGTCACAATGGAGCGTGCATTATCTTTGAAGACAAGTTTGTTTCATTTTGACAGCGTTGGAATTTTAGACCGTCAACCTTCATGACATCAGAATCACAGTAGAAACATTCGAGAAAAAAATTTAATTGACGTGACCAAAATAAATGGAATGCATAGAAAGTGTAATCTGATTTCAATTGGTGAACATTTGAAAGAGCCGTTAGTATTTAGGAACAAAACCCAGAAAGACAGCACATTTGTAAAATATCACATTCACAAGGAAACCTCAAGCGCAGCAAAAATTGAGTTCTAAATTGGGACTGCCGAGAAGAAATCAGTTTGATACGTCAAACGATCGACACTATGTAGGATAATTTCCGACAGAGGCTACCTGACCGGATTTAAATGGTACTATGTTAAAGTTAAAGGTTAATTTGGATGCAGACAATAGAGGGAAAATGTCGCAATCGTTCTACATCCTTAGGCAGCAGCCAGAGTATACAAAAAAATGAAGTGTTCTGAATAAGTAAAACGAATACATCCTTTACATGGGGCCTTCGCAGTGTACATCAATCACAGACATGGGTTTGCGCCAAGCACATAGAAGGAATATTATGCACAATCAACACTCGTCATTTTTGTCAGGATGTGTTTTATTGGCCCGAGTGGAGTTATCTGCAATGGTCTGCTTGCATCAATAGAGTAGCTGCTATGCTGTAACTCAACGCTACTTCGCTCTCCGCTATCACTTTATGACTTCTCTTGTTTTAGATCCAAGAATCGTATTTTCAATCAGAAACTGTGTTTGTTTGTTTTTTGACTTTTTGTTTTGAGGCTGATAATTCATAGACTCAATCAAACATCCTTCTGTATCAAGGCTATTGCCCTACAGATCGTGGACTTTTATATGTACATCCAATTTTAATCTCATGAACAATCAACAATGAGTTGTCATTTCAACCCGAATTTTCAAGGGAGCGACTCAAGAACAAGAAATTTTCAAGGATAAAAGCCTCCAAGTATAAACGTTATCTTGCCCATGTCAAGAATCTCATCAAATTGACAATCTTCGCCCAATGCCGTCCATTTATCTTGTCCTTATCGGGCAACCTAATGTCAACAAATTTCGCTGTTCGATTTTAAAGCTCCCATTTTTAAAGGTCAAATTAGAAAAAACAAAACACGTTATTTATCTTTCACCTTTTTGTCAAGTCATCGACGCACCATACATGAGCCAGATTAAGCAGAACGGTTTTCATAAACTAATTAAGGATGTTTAGAACAGAGTTAAAGATTAATGGATGCGCGATGTCCGTGTTTCAAATTGCTAGATATTTATAGACTCACCTCTTTGTACTTTAGTTTATGTCACTGAAAGAATGAAGTATTTTACGTCCATTTTTTCTCGTTTCTTCGTCTAGCCAATTCTATTAATACTCGCACAACTCCTCGGGGGCAGAGCAATTAAGAGATGTTATATTTCCGAGAAAGTAGATGTTTACGTCGGAGATTTGACAACCGAGTTTATTTTTTGTTGTCGTTTTACATCCTGGAAGAGGGATAATCAGGTAATAAAGTTTTCTGACATGACTTGCAAAGTAGGCCCTACCAATGATATGCAAACGTCCCTCTGCAAGGCAGACAAAAGAGGCCCTTACTTTGGTATATAGCCGTATCTTTGTCCGTCATTGTTGGACAACGTCTCTTTGCACTAAGCCTCAGAAATGTACTAAACTACACTTCTAGAAATTCCTATTGAACGTAGTTCATTTGGCTACACGTGCATAATGCATACATCGGGTAACTGCATTCAGGTCAAGACCATGGGATAATAATGGAAAAAACAATACAACGTATTAGGCTTTCTTTTTAATTCGGCCTAAAATAATTTCTTCCTCTACTACTACGTCACTCTTAGCTTCAGTAATTGCGCATATTTACATTTGACACCGGTTTGGATTTAAAAACCTGACCATTGTGCTCGGGAGATAATGGATGTTACCTTGACGGCTGTCATCCATCAAAAACGGCTATCGAAGACGTTAAAAGTTATGTTACTATTTAATCTAAGATGAAAATTAATTATGTGTACGTGCATCGGAAAGGTACGACTAAAACACCAACACAAACGTTCAATGAACTATTGGAGTCTCTGAATCCAGCAAAATGTACCGAAAATTTAAATTCCGAGGTAAATGTGGGAACCTCGTTTCGTTTGCTGGACGTTTAATAGATAAGTTAAATATATTTACATATGAATACTTTCATCGCAAAACGCTATATCCACCATTTTTGAAGAAAAGAAGACGAGTTAAGATGACCTATAAATTGTTCATAAAAATGTGATAATTGGAACCTTGTCTGTTGAATTCCGAGTTGTACTTTCGCAGATACTTGTATAAAATTTACGTCATAATTCCTTATTATTTTCTTTATTACAGCAGACAATCGTGCATAATCTCAATTTTAAATTAAATGAATAAATAGCGATTTGCGATGAAACTCTTCATGTGTCTATATCTACATGTTGTGCAAGCAATTTTTTTTTCGATAAATGAATCCAAGTTGACTCCTGTGAGTCCTACAGAAGAGATCATGTGTGTGGAAAGAATGCCTCGTTTCACCAGATGCCGTGAGCAGTCTTCAGTCTAAGAGATATAATTGGTTGCGCATATGGTTTCGGTAAAATCAATTAAAACATGAAAAATACCAAACAGGTGTTCGTTACATCATTCGAGTCATTCAATGATAATACATCTGTATTCCTTTCGCTACTTTTTATTCAAATTAAATCTTTGTACGAAGAGAAGAGGTTATCTTTTTTGCTATGTCAAACTAAGTAAAGATTTCTTCTCCAAGTCAAAACTTATCGATAAATCTTGAGACATTGCATTTTCTCGATTGAATGTAACTTATTCAAGTAAGTTGTTGAAAATGTCTGAAGCGATTCCAATAAAGACTTGACAGTTGACATGCCTTCGTGCATGACAGTGCGTTAGTGACTGGTACTTCTTCAGTGAGTTCAACAACTCGTCAGGACAAGGATTTTAAAGACAATTTCAGAATTGAGAAGTTTGCATGCAGGATCATTTTGAGACATCTACATCTCTCGACAAGTGAGACAGCGTTTCTACACAAAGTAGTTAGCCAGTTGTGACATTTTATCTTTAGGTGCTTTTCCACCCCGCCCCCTGCCCCGCCCCCTGCCACGCCCCCTGCCACGCCCTCTCCCTCTACCCCCTCCTCCTCGTCCACCGCGGTGTATGCTGGCGTGTTTAGCTTCAATTAACGGCGACAGTACGGGATCGCAGAACATACAGCCTGAGCGATGCGTTTCGTTATCGGCTAGTGGTGTTTTCGTCTGTTGGTCAGGATGAAAAACGATTCAATAATAATAATATCATTCCTTTATCAAATAAACCAAATAAAAAGAATAAAATGAAAACAAACAATGCACTGTTGTCGGCCATTTTGTCGGCCATTTTGTTGGCTATTTAGTAAGACCCTACAACCTTGGGAGATGTAACCCTCAAACATACAACATTCCTTCAAAAATCGACTTCAATGTTTACCAACTGTATCATGGCTACACATTTGGGCAGGAAACTTTGTAAAAAAATTTCCTTTTCAACGGCATGTCGAAAACATATTCTCCTGCTGGACTTCTCTCTATCTCAACTCAGTTCCAAGCGGGAATCTTTCTAACAAGTTTCCCTTTCACCACGATACCAAACACCGTTTCCTCAGCTTGACTTCTCTCAATTCCAACTCAGTTATAGGCTGATATCCTCGTAGCCACTCCATTAAGTCGTGTCCGAATCGTACATTTGAGACAACGACTGTTGTTCTGGTCATTAGCAAGGTAAGTGGCCGGAGGCAACGATCGTTGGGGGCCTAATCTGTCACGACATCAGTCAAATTAATTACGTGTACATGGGTAGAAAGTCATTCTAGCGAGGCGATATGGAGCTCCCGCGACGGTCATTGTGAACGCTCAATGGTCCTTCCACCTTAATTGTCTAAAACTGGTCGAAATGCACTCATGCATTAATTTGATAATGTGTGCCCCTCCAATGCGCACGTGGCGCCACCATGCTAACCGCTTTGTACGTTGATATCGAGTGATTTTAATTCAGTGCGGCATTTCGAAAAAGTGAGGTCATTCGAGAATAAAACACGCCAGTTCGACCATATTCTGGGCTTGTATACGTACGTCAGGCGTGTGTCGGTATGCGGCCGTCCTGATAGGACCAAAATCACGCGCACGTATTGCCGCTCATGAAGAGCATGCGTTATCAGAATACAGAAATGGCTCGTCCTCATTCTATGCTTGTTGGATTCCCTTATTTTCCTTGAGAGTTAAAAAAAATTACGCAATATCAAACATTATACAATCACACCATCATCACATGACCTCCAGATACCCCCCCCCCTTCCCTACCGGTTCCAAAAGTTTACAGCCTAACGGTTATATCTGCTGAAAAGCATGGCATAACGCGCGAGGAAAAGAAAGACCCTGCTGCATTTAATAGCACTGATGTAAAAGTAAGAGTGGCATTGTCCCCTAAAAGCTAAGTTATCTTCGGACAAAATTGTAGTCTCTAAGTGCTGTGTTAATGGATTAATTTATCACATGCACTCCACTGCTGCCAAATTTGAGAACTCTACTCACACACAAATTGATCTTTTATTTTATTTTGGCATACTTCAGTGTTAAGCTTAGAAATTCTGACGTCAATTTGGACAGGCTAATTCGATTTTCCTGTTTTCCCGTAAGCAGCAATGTATGCAGTTACGAGCACTAAAGCTTGTGGAATCGTCTTAAATAAGACTTACGTATTGGAGAGACAATTTACACGCGATCTGTCTCTGGCCTAGGATAGTGACATTCAAAAATTGAACGTGCTCATCTGGAGATTGAACAAGTTAGGCCCAAGGACAACATCTTCAAGTTTTAATCCTAATGGGAGACTTTGGACAATGTTTCAAGCACCTGGATTGAATTTCACTCGTTCTGGGTTAAAACATTTGAAATCTTGCCACTCTGTAATTTAAGCTATGAATAAACTTAACCAGTTTCCAGAATTCTCGGCGTGGCAGGTCACTCAGCAATCTTTGACCTGACATCCAGAACGTTCACTGATGAATCAACTGCGTGGCACTCGACTTAATATTATGGAGATATTCTCTTATTCGAAAGGAATGAAGTCTTAAGTCTGACTTTAAACTAGTTGTGCTAACTAACAAGAATGTATCATTCAGATAAAATAAATGGCATTACCAACGTGATTAGTTCACATATATTAATCATGATCAGATTGCCATGTTGAAGTAGGTAAACACTTGAAGTCATGTACACAGCTGTTCTCTCCCATAAATCAACTCCTTCCAGCAAGTCAGTCGCTATACATGTAGGTAAATTGCCCCATCAATCATAAATTGATCACACTGGGCATCCAGCACTTGTTTCTACAAGTTATATTTTCAATTTAAAATTTTAATCATTTCTTCAGAAATGTCATTGATACCTTTCCTCCGACAGAGTTGTGGAACTTCTGCTTGTCAAATTAAATTACGGAGTCAATTTCAAGTCTTAGGATTGGACTTTTTTTGGTCACTCGAGCATTTAATAGATGTTATAATGCCTGGAGCGATGAATTCTTGATGTTTCAGTTTAAAAATAGGTATTCTAACAGGAAAAGCGAATGAATGTGCATTGGTGAGCTGACATGTTTGGCATTGGAGGTGACTTGATAAACTGCTACCCCTGACGGCTGTGCCATGCAATCTCCAATTGTTCTTTTAGCATGAAAGTGAGTACTTTAATGCATACACTAAATATAGGGTGTATCACATGAACACGTTATGCAGAAACGCACACATGTATAGAGGCAAAGTTTTCTTCTCACAAATAGGTTAGCAACAGAACTGTAGATCTTCAGTCACATGTCAGTTCCCAAGTCAACTCACAGGTCATTTCACAAGTCAGTGCGGAACTAAAGAGATGAACAATAACAAAGGAATGCCTGCGTCAAAGTTCATTTGAATAGCTTTTCCGTTGACTTGTAGCTGACTGACTTGTGACTGACTTGTGGTGACTTGCAGTGACTGACTTGATGGTTAGCAATGTCCTACATGGCAAAACCACTTGCAGAAAACATGGCATCTAGCAACGCAAAGCAACATCAGAAATAATACAATAGAGAAAAATGTCAACAAAACAAAGGGAAAAATACATTCCCCAGACTGTTTGATACCTCAGTGTACACCCCCCCCCTCGCTTAAAATAGCTCATGGTAACTGCAAAATGGAAAAAGTGGCTCAAGAGATGTTTTGCAGAATAGATATTTCCCGGTTGTCTTTTGAACTCACAATAATGTGTCTTGAAGAATGATCAAAGTATTAAACAAAATTAACAGCTCGATTACAAGGTCAAGAAATCAGAGATGAAAAAACCTTTTCTTCTGCAGCAGGTCACTTCTGGCTCTCAGAAGAGACCTTTACAGGAGGAGGAGGCTATCCGCCTTAAAGATACATGTACTTGGGTCACTTCTATAAATTCGGGGTCCAAAACTGACATTTTTCTGTCCCTGTTACAACTGACCTGAGTAATTTGACACGGAAATATCACTCAAGTTGATTTCAAACTATTTCTTTTTGTTTGGCAGGTAATATGCAATAATTTATCACTCTTAGAAATTACAAAATTGTTCTGAATTTACAAAATCAAGTCAGATGTGACAGGGAAATGAAACAAATTGGACCCCTGATTTGTAGAATGACCCACTGCAGCTTCTAGGTTACATGCAGATTGAAGACTTATATGTACCTGTCACTCATCAACCATCATTGGAATGACAATCCCTTTTCGTAATTAAAAAACCTGATTTCTTCCCCTAATTTCACAGCATTTGTCACACTGATGGGGAGTGATGTAAACAGTCTTGTATCCCAAAAGAAATCCACCGTTTTTATTCATCATGTTAACTCAATACAACTGCTTTGGGTGAGTTGGCTGAATCCTGTGGGCCAGTATTTTTAGTTCCATTATATTCTGACTATTACTGATAGTGACCTAACCAAACCTGTTGAAATTATATCCTAAGGGAACACCTGCTAAAATTTTGCATGCTTAGAATGATGGTTAACTGAGCATGGCAAGATTGACTGATTCCTGTACGCTTGAATGATGCAAAACAACATCATTCCAGTCGGGTGGTCTTAGTTGATCTAACCAGATGTGATTGATTGTCAATTATCTTGACGGATGATACACTAATCAAATTAAGTCCATCTGACGTCAAATCGGAAATCACTTATTGATTAATTTAGTGACAGGTGCTTGCGGTGTCAAACATGAACGTGAAGCAGAAGAAGGTTGGGAACTCAACAACAGGTACTACAGGGATGTTGATGACCTTTAATGGCCCAAAAGGATAAATGCAAAGGGGGAGCCTCCACTAACCAAGTGAAGGTACAGTGATGATGCCCACCATGGAAAAACTCTGGACAGAGGGGCCTCAATTGGTAAGTAGAAGTTAGTCTGGACGTGATCGCAGACTTACCTTATTGAAGTCTACATCTAGGATGGCAGCCTCACACTTCTCGCAATGGAAATCGGAGACAGTGATACGATGAGCGTCTTCAAAGATGTTCATAATCACATTGCACCTGAGAAACATTTAACAAAATTCAGAAAATTGTTGAGTAACAATCAGCTTTTTCTTTTCAACAGGATTAAACACCATTAGAGTGGATTCTTTACCAACTGAGCTATTCAGCCCTATGTTGGTGGCTCTTCCAATTTGTCAATTTCTTTGTTTGAGGGAGCGCTAGCAAGAAGCCATTAAACCTGAAACACCACGGAACGAAGGATCACGCCCCAATAGCACAACCTAGGAAGTTGTGAACAGGGATCACTCAAAGAGGATACATCTTTTTGAACATAAATTGTGAAACAAACTATTTAGGGAAACTTACTAGGTGCTTAAAAATGATCATAAAGATGAACGAAGAAATTGATTGCAGCTGGATTTGCACCTGCGGCCTCCACAATACTCATGGATGAGATCGACAAATGATAAAAAATAACTGAAAATAGCTGAAAAAGGCAAAAAGAAGCTGAACTGTGAAAATCTCCTATACCTTTGCAGACAGCCAGTGAGCAAAAAAAGCTGATATCCAACACAAAAAAAGCTGAAATCAGCTAAAAAGCTGCAAAATCTCACCTCTAACGACTGTACCAATGCTATACCAACTGAGCTATCCAGCCCAATGTTGGTGGCTCTTCCCTTTAAAAAATTGATTAAAATCATCACACTTACTTGTTGCAAGCGAGTCGCCATTTTGGTGCAGATGATGGGTCTAGTACCATGACTCCATTATCACACTCTATGCACTGAGCTACACCTAGCTTGATGATAGACTGGGGACAGGTTGGATGAGTGCATTCATTGCAGCCCATTCCCTTGCGCATTTCTGGGAAGGGAGGGTTACTTAAGCAGTATGGACAGACTGGATAACTCTGGAAAATAAGAAGCACAAAATGCAACTAACGACCGTTTCCTTACAGAGGAAAATACAAAACCATCTACATTTCTTTCCAGATTTGGCTCAAATTGTTGTTGTTGTTTTTATGGCATTTTCAGCTACTCAGGCTCTTCGTGCCGGTAACTAACACTCACCGGTTCTTCTAAGAACCACACCTCTTCCAAAAAGAGATTGTTTCTATGGTGTACTCGCAGAGTCTACATCTCACACCAATAACCAGAACTATATGTTTATTCATACACTTTATTAATTAATCAGCATCAGATTACGGAGTTGGGAAGAAGGTCCAGTTTTAGAGGCAGGAGGAAACCGGAGAACCCCAGTCCTTCATTTTAAGAAAATCCAGGAGAGCTATAAAATTGCTCTCCTCAAATCTCTCAGGAAAGCAAATCCCTCTCCTCAAAATAAACCAACTATTTGCATCACTGCGAGCTTGAGTACGCAAGAGGCCATCCGTTTAAAATCGGATTGCTGTTAAGGGCGGATGGCAATAAGTGGGAGCATAGTTCAACAAGGTTGGAGTTGGTTGTAGAGAAAGGCATGAAGCTTGTCTTTAAAATCCCCAACCCTCTCAGGTATTATCTTTAGCTACATGTACCTTTCCCTTTGGCCCAGAGGACCAAAGCACCAATTCAAAATCATCCAACGGACACCTGATCTCCTTGTACAGTTTGATGGAGCCATTCTGAGGCAGAGTGTAAGTCTCCTCACACTGAGCGCAGTGTAGACGGCACGGTTTAGCCGAGATGTACTTCATGAATCGATGGCATTTACCACACCTACATGTATTGAGAATAAAAATGCTTTGTATCAGTAATGTGTTGCTAGTTATGCTCAAACTGATGGCTGCTGTTACCCCTGCTGGTCATGCCTATAAAGAGTTTCTGCAACCATCCTTAGTTTCCAAGGATTGAAGAAATCAATTACTGCTAAGGTTAGCTCCAATTAAACCTAGTTAGACTTAACAGATGCCCACTTATACCTGGAAGAAAATATCACCACCTGATTTAATGTCCAAATTTCAGCTTACATCTCATTGTTAGAATAATTCCAATGAGTTGGAAACGGCAATGCCATCGACTGTGAGTGCTGAAAACATTTTAGTAGAAGAGAAGGAGTAGCACATGAATAAAAAACAACCAGAGTTGATAGTTTTATGTCTCAAGTGACCCACCCATAATCCAACCCAAATCTTATGAGTATTGAGTGATACCTTGACAGTGGTTTTCCAGTTGCAGCTAACGGTGAGAAAGACACCTCGAACAGTTCATCCATCCCTTGTATCTGTTCCACAAAGTACTGAAATTTCCTGGTGAAGATATCCAAGGTGTGTCGAAGGACAATGTGATAGTCAACCTTACCCTGAGCTATCAGGTTTAACTGTTCCTCAACAGCTGAACGCATCGTAGGAAGTGATAGGTCAGGATCAATCTGAAACAAGTCAAACAATTAAATGGTTCCAAGCAGTTCAGGAAAACAAAATTCCCTACTTTATTTCCAAGTTTTCCTAAGGAATTTAAAATACTTTCAGGGTAATTATTTCCTGACCACAGAGAGATAGAGGAATGTCCACACTGAACAGCCACTGTAGCCAATCATCCAGTGGACATGCTGTTTGGACATAAAGACAAAGTACAAAAGACTGACCATTCTCTCTTTTTGGTTAATCAGTCCCTGACTTTTCCTTCATTTGAGGCATTTATTATCACACTCCCTTGCTTTTCCCTGATTTGAGGTAATTTTTTTCACACTCCCTTACTTTTTCTTGACTGAAAAAAGGGAAGCTCATTTTCCAGGTTTTCCATGATTTCTAGATAACTATCACAGAAATGGAAATAAAACTTGACTGATACAGCATTTGAACAAAGACCTAGAGCTCTGCAATGCTTTCCTGCAATGATATATCAAGTCTTGGTGACTTGCTTGGGAGAGCACAAGCGAAGTAATCTACATGCAGCAGCCTGTGGTTACAATCTTACTTTCTGATATCCATGGATGAGAACGATGCCCAATCTGGTCGGTACTAGTCTTCGTCCACTCTCTACTTTGACGTAATTGCGTTGGCAGATGTTCTCAATATGAACCGGTATACTAGCATCCGTTCCAATGCCATGTTTCTCCATTAACGTGATGAGTTCACTTTCTGTGAGGTAATCCGGAGGACTGGTTTGCCTTTCAATTATCTTAATCTACAAGACAGAGGAAATACGCACAAAGGTCTTAGACTGTTGTAAATTTCTCCAAGTTGAGGGGAAAGGCCGATAAATCAATCAATATTGAAACAATGTAATTAGTTCGTCTCTGACAGCAGTAAATAAAAACTAGGCAATTAACCTACTTACTAATGACATTGAACCTTGTTTACAGGTGCACTTGTTTATGGAGTGGGGAGGGTTACAGTGAACTGATCACAATTAGAAAACACACCTGTAAAGAGTGTGGCGTCATCAATACCAGAGGTCTATTGCTTACAAAAACTCAACCACTGGATATTAGCAAACTCAGTGACAACCCACCAGCACTATTCCAATAAATGTTAGGTGTAAAATCTAAAGGCATGGGTTCCAAACCAGCAATGCTTTGGTCTAAAATTGTAAGAGTTACAGAAGCTTGATAGACGGAACTATATATGAAAAGGAAACGTTAATTAAATAAACAATAACTGAACAAAGTTGACCAGAAATGATAAATAAAGTTTAAAGAAACTAAGAAGGATTGGAAGTTTGGTAGGTGGACCAACCTCCCCTCAAGAAATATTTTCTGTAAGTTTCACACTTACCTCATTCAAACTACAAACATCTCCAACTTGGAATGTCGGTAATGTCTCTGATGTGTTTATTGCTTGCCATTTCATGAATGTTGTGTAGCCAGGATCAATCACCATTTTACCACTACAGAAGAATCTCTCATCGTTAATGATGAAGCTTACTGTCTTTTGGAGATATTTACAGTCATAACTGATCTAAAATGTTGACAAAAATTGAAAGTATCAATTAATACACTTCAGTGTGCCTTCACATCTGAGTAACAGTGCTGTGTTTGGGTCCACCACAAGTCCTTTCATAAATCCCTTCAGAAGTCCAGTTACAAGTCCCTTCACAAGGCCAGTCATAAGTAAGTGGGTAAACAATGACAAAATGTGGATTGGGTTTTCCGTCTGTACCTGATTTCGTGGGTTTTCCCAGAATATTCTTCTGAGGTTTTTGTCCCACCACTAAAACTGTAACTTCTTCTCAGTGTCTCCTCTCAACAGGTTTCTTCAGGATTCTGAGCTACAGTGCCTAGGGTACTTTTGAAGAAACCTTGGTTTCATTCCCAAGAAGATAAATAGATAAATAAATAAATAAAAAGAAGAGGTTGGGGGGACAGGCTAGTGAATCATCCCCTCCACAGTTTTGTGATGAGCACAAAATGAAAGCAGATTTGAAGAATTGTCAGGATTGCCAATGACTAACATGTTTGCAATATCATTAAGGAAAGCAATTTTAAAAAGCCATAAATATGCCATTCTGATGTAAGATTCTGCATGAATTTGATACACATTTAAAGATGTACATCTTCATCATGGACATCGCCCCCTGTATAGTGTACATGTATATGCTGTCCAAGGACTTGTCACGTTCTTAAATACAACACTGTAGGGTATGACCTTTCCAAGGTCAACTAAGAATCCAATCAAGACATACCGTAGCAATGAAGTGTAGTAAGATGTATTCATACAATCTCCATGCTTCTCCTCCTATATCACTCTCGGATGCACTCCTCATGGGCGTAATAGGAGGATGGTCTCCAGCATCATGTCCTTTCCTTGGACGATTGATTCCTTGAACAAGGAGTTCTCGAATCTCACCACCCCAAGGGCTGGATTGGAGCTGTTTCAAGGTACCCCTAAAGACAAAATATTAAAGTAATTCACTACTTGTCTGAGTCCTAAACAACAGCTAGATATTTAGGGAAAAAGTGACATTTCATTAAACAGCTTAGGTCTTGAATCTCCTTCTAAGATCAAATGTACAACTGCTTATATACAGATGCTGGAAACCATGTCTTTGTTTGTCTATGGACCTTTTTTCAACATCCTGAATTCTGTCAACTCACTTGAGATCAAAGTTGTCTGGGTAATGTGTGGTCTCTGTTCTTGGGTAACTGATGTAACCCTGGGTGTACAGCCTCTCTGCAATCTGCATCGCATGATGGGGGCTCATACCCAAGGATGCACTGGCGACACGCATCAACTCCACAGTATTCAAAGCCAGAGGGCGCTGCTTGACTTTCTCTTTCTGAGTCACGGATGTCACTCTGTGAAATCAAGACAACATGTTAAATGAAAGGAAATAGAGACAAATGCCAATTTCTGTGTAACCTGCGGAGAAACACGCCATTCTTTTAACTCAACCAAACATGAAATGACTTATTTCAGCACTTTTTACAAGAATTTACACTGATAATTAAACATCTTTTCCTTCTTGCGTTCTGGGTTCAAAACCAAACTTATCACATCCTTACTTTGCATCTTTCTGTCCTTTAATCATATTCATGAACATCTGAGCGACATCTCGGTCAAAGACTCGGACTCGTTCCCAGTCTAATACCAGATTCCTACCGCTGGGGTGAGCTACCTACAATATGCAATGAGAAGCGACGAGTAAACTTTTTTATTAAATAAAATCACACATGAAGTATTCTGTTAAAGTCTGTTCTGGGAAATTCATTTACTGAAAAATATTGAAAGAGCGAACAGTTGAGAAATTTCCATTCAAATTGAAAGCAGTTATTTCTACCTCAGTGTGTAGGACCCAAAATGGTTCTGGTTTGAATTCTTGTATCTTGTCATGTCGGTTCACACACAGGCCAAGGGTTGGTGTCTGACAGGGTCCATAGGAGATGAGGTTACTGTCTAGATCTCCGTATTTACCCTGGTCAGAAGAGGACAAGGTTTCATCAAACAAGAAAACATCCATGGGATGTACTTTATTCAAGTAAACAAGTTCCACATTAACAAAGTTGGGAAAGGATACAATTGGAAATATAAACTAACAAGTAGGTTTCTGCATTTTGTAAACATTCCTCTAGGATAAAAACTGCAGACCAATAAACTTTTCTGTGTATTTCAAATCACTTCAGTCAGTTATACATCTCTAACAGCTATTTTACTTTAAATTAAATTCAAAATTTCTGCAGGAAAGATATCAATATATTATCGTGTGAATCTTTGGAGCAAATTTATTTCGACACAAATCGTCACAATGCCACAAAATACGATCTCCATATTCTTGAAACTCAAAACGAATCTTCTTCAGGGTAAATTGGAAAAACAGGTTTGTGCAAATAGAGAAAGAAATCAGAATCTAATAAAACTGACCAAAATTAAATCTGTGAAGTACAGATTGGATGGATAATCATCCGAAGACAATACCTATTAATGGCACCTTGCAGAAAACAATTACACTAAGCAGGTTACTGGATGGTCATGATGGTATTAAATTCTTCCAAGACAGTCTTCTACAACTTTGTCAGGATACACACTTACTTGGAAATATTTAGTTTGATATCTCGTGAAGGCACAACCAATCCTGAGGTCAAGTTCTTGTCTGGCATCAACTGACAATGCTTCATTCTTGTTGGGTTCCACGAGTCTCTCCATTGCGCCTCTGATGTCGTTGTCAGTGATAGCACTAAATCTGGCTCGGAATATGACCTGTGAGGAAGGGTTTGGAAGCTTCAGCTAACGGGTACTCCAAGAGTTCTGTAATTCTTCATGGTTACAGGTAACGTGGTGCATTTGACTTTCAGCAGGAAAGTGGATTCACCACATTAAATGTATTTGCAATGTAAGTTGCACATCAGACAACAAAGATGTCATGAGTACCTTAAAGGGCAAACTATTTTGCGAGTGGACGCTCAGCTAAATTTTTCATAATTTTTCATGAAATGTAGAGACGTGTACTGAGACTAGAAAAGAAGACTTTGGTGGTGGCAATCATACGAGTCATTTTTACATGTTCTGAGCATGTACGTGTGCATAATTCTCAGCATGCACAATACTGCGAAAAAGGAATGGTATGTCTGCTGTCACCAAGTGTTTCAAAGTCTCCCAGTGAGACAGAAATTATTTTCTAAGCAAGTTGTACTTCCCATGATTACCTTAATTACACCATCAATTACATCACAGACTTAATGCCAGTTATGCCCATTTTCCAGCTCAAGTTCCCCTTTAGTAACACTTTTTCCCTTGTCGCACCCATTTAGTTCCCTCCTCCATCAATCCGACACCCTCCTCACACTTTTCACCTGTTGTCTCATGGAGTTCTTATTCATAACAGGACCAACGCAGTCTATCACCTCAAAGCATATGTTTTCTCCTTCTTTGTCGCAATCTAACCAAAGGATAAGATAGTCCACACCCCTCCCCTGCAAAGATACAACAAACATAAACATTCATAAGAGTCTTGAACTCTAGAATCTGATGAAATACAGAAACTGCAGAATTTTATTCAAAGTTTAAAAGATTTACAGATCCTATTTGTATCCTATTTATAATTTGCGAGTGTAATTCACTTTTTTTTGACAATTCAGATTTTTACGATAAATGTTGTTTCAATGTGGATTATTCAATAGCAAGGCAAACCTCTTGCTGTAGAAGTCGTGGAATTTGTAGCTTGGAATTAGCTTCTTTCTTTTCTGTGGAGGCAGCAAACAATTCCACCTAGAGTAAGACAGAAAAGGTCAAGAACACCTTGTTATGTAATAGGTGGTGTGTTTTAAATACATGTACATGTAGCAACAACATCTTAGTGGTATTTTGCCAACAGCTGAGACCAATTTGATCTGTAAGGACTTTTACTTACTTGGTGTTTAATTTTGTTCATGGAATAAATCAAAATTTGAGTCAGTGAATAAGAGTGACAAATTATTTAAGATACAAAGTAGCCAGGCAAACCTATGTGAACCACTTCCTGCCAGGTGGAGTTTGCACATGCGGGACGCTTTTTAGGGAGATTTTTCATGATTTTCCACTTTTTCAAAATTCTTCAAAAATTCATATCTTCATTTACTGGATGCTTATACCCACACCAATGACTATCTCATGGCTGCTCTAATCTGACAGGCAACCTCCATGGATGCCTGAGTATTACAGCAAGGCCTGCCATCCAGTAAAGAGAGCCCAGGTTGTGTTGCATAATTTACTTTTCTCCCAAAATTGGCCCCGGACATTGCTGAATGACAGTGGTGTTTTTACGTATGCGGCCAGATTAGTGTGCAGCAGTATTGTATCGCTCATTGCTGGAGTGCTTTGTCCCCGCTGATAATCAGTAGTCGCTGAATGCAGAAATCAATGGTATACAGTATGCTCCTTACCATTATGACAGTTTACCTCCAATAAGGCCAACACCATGTGCCGACAGCATATGAAAACTGATTGGCAATACCTAGCAGCTCGGTCTTTTGTTAAAGGCCGAGTTCCTTTGTTCCGATTTTGGGTACCTCAGCCATGAATATATGGCCAAGGACTCTGGGCTCCCCAGTGCCATGTGGTTAAACTGACAGAAGATTGACCGCCTGTGCCCACTAAATCACATGAGCTACAGTCGGTGTCAACCCCAAAGCAACGTGTGTTTTGCGTGTTGTTCACAAACAGCAAAGCCAATTCACGGTACAGTACCCTGCACGCCAGTAGTTGTCTATTTGTGTTAAATGATGCTTATGAAACACTTTGCTTTTGGCGGACTGTCCAGGATACCTTCTTTATTGAAATTAATACCCACATCTGTTAAGGCATACTCACTGGGTCAACTCTGTCCCAATTGTTGTATCGAGCATTGAAATCAAGGCCCATAACATGGCCACAAACGGAAGTAAACTGTAAATTAAAAACAAAAGACATGAAGCAACTCATTCAAATATAGCAGTATTTTACACTGCAGAAGAGTTCCATACAGAGACATCTATTTTTCCCTAGAGTGGTATATCAGCATCAGAAAGCCATATTACATGTACATGTATGTTAGTCAAAAAAAATGTAAAAGGTCAAATTCAGAAGGGAAAATAATGGACCATTTACTTAAAAAAATAATTAGCCTTTTCACAGTGGTCTCATTGGGTTTGTACACAGGAAGTAAAGTGATTTCAGGTATCTGGCATTTTATTTCAAAACTAAAAAATGTAAAAGTTTTATCAAACGAAGTAAAATTTAAAAAATGTTTCTCATCCTCGCCCGCTTCCTGTTTTTGAAATTGGACCCATGTGCATTTTTTCTCAAATTTTTCATTTAGTACAATTAATGTCTTTAAAAATAAAAACTCAATCCCTAACACTCCATTGGAAATGCATTTACATGTACATGTATATGATGTCTGTGCGAGTCCTTTGCTTCTGAGTGCAGAGTCTCTTGGTAACTTTCTACATGACGTGGCTCGCTTAGCTACATGTACCATTCATTTTAGTGCTCCCGTAAGAGTCTCTGCTACGGTTGTATGTTCAGGTGTACTCAGTGGTAATAAAGTGCGTGGTGTAAACACAAATTCACTTATTATACAGACATTCCGTTGAACCAAAGATTGCCTGAAATCTTAAAATTTTGGCCATAATGAAAAAATAAAAATGACAACCACGGCTTCCTCCTCTTTCCTGAAAAAAATTGGTTGAGAAACAATTTTTTCTTTAGTTGGCCTTAAAGATTTGTTATTTAAAGGAGTGAAAACTACCCTGTCGCCCCTATCAATGCATAGACTTACCTTAAATCTACACGTTTCTCCACGGAAGTTTCCTGTGTATTCGTGCACAGAACACGCTCCATTAGACGCTTTCCTCGAATGCAGATTCCCACGAGACAAAATCTTGGCAAGTGACTGTGCAAGTTGGGGCTTTTCAGCCACCATTAGAGCAACTTTCATTCTGGTTTTTCAGACGTTATTGGTCTACCTAGAATACTCTTTATTTCTGATATATACATACGCTCTGTCTACAGGAATAAAAGACGAAATCACAATAAACTTACAGACTCCGTATTGACAACAGATACGCAATGGAGGTCGCCATTTTGATTCATCAACTGCATGATGGGAAATGCTGATCAAACAAAAGAGCTTGCAACGTCAAAAGTTGGGCAAATTTATTCGAAATTTTACCACTCATTTCAAAAAGCCAATGAAGTGAAGAAATTGCTCAGAAAATGCTCATTAGCATTAAAAGTGCCCCCCCCCCCGTATCTTTTGAACAAGGAAATTGTTTGGCTCCCAAAATGGTGAGATTGTGTAAATCTTTGCCAGAATCAACTCCCTGGGTCTTGAGCTTTCGTACTGAGAGCAGAAGGGCTAAAAACTACGGTTGAAAAATGGTCCCAAGTGCCCCAGAAAGTTGAGGGTTGCCACTTGAAAAGGGATGCAATCAGACTTCGGAAAAAACACTTTTCGGCGGGCTATTTTGTTTTTATGGGAATAATTAAAAATGTGATTGGTTAACCCACAAAAAAATTGAAAAGAAATTGAAAGATTAATGACAAGACAAGAATTTCAGGGGAGCCTAAATATGTTTAATGGAAATGAAACAAACCAAAACATTCGCTACCCTCGCATTACATTTCTCTTAACATGACTTCTTTTGGGTGGATAGGGACCCAGTTGGTCTCCCAAATCTGGCCTTGAACAAGATTCCGCGCATGTTGGAGGTATTTCGCAGCACATCATTACTTTAGTAGGGTTTGGGCTTTTAAAACAGAAAAAAAAAATCAAGCAGGCCAAATAAGTCTTTTCCCTGATACAGTGCGACTTGTGTCTAGTCCATTCAGCCTTGTGCAAAAATGACTGCAATCAATTAAACCAACCCAGTACACTTACTTTCAAATAATTTCTGTAGAGAATTTTGCGTTCCGGGAAGTTATTGAGCAGCGCTTAAGTTGGTAAAGAATACGGGCGATTCACGATAGTGCGCCTCCAAGAGTTTGCAACGCGTTGGCCAATCACAACGCGCGAAATTTGTCGACCCTTTCCAAACGCGCTTTAGGTCGAAAAATTTCGCGCATTGTGATTGGCCAACGCGTCAGTTGCAAACTATTGGAGGTGCACTATTGTGAAACGCCCGTATTCATCAAACTTCGACTGATAACGACTTGTTTAACGCGGAATAAAATTTTACACAGCTCCTCGGGCTACATAAAAAGATGTGGCACTTGATAAAGTACTTTGCCTGTAGACTTTGCCATCCTGACAGAGGTCAATGAGATTATCCTTTATTTATTTTTTGATACAAAAAGAACACATTTTAGCGGGTTAATTTGTCTACAGCTTCAGTTGTTTTCTACATGAATCTGTATGTAAAAAAACAAGATATGCATTCGCCATGTCACAGCTGTGGGACGAAAAAGACCTTTTTATAGTTGAATGTAGGAAACCAATTCACGAAGTCATGAGGTTCAGCAATCTTATCGTCTACTTTCTCAAGTTTTTCAAAGCATAAGACGTACATGATACAACTGGAGAGGTTCAGTTTTGTCGATGAAGTAAGCTTTATTTAACATTTTCCTTACAAGCATATTAACTAACTACAGTACATTACTCCAGAAGTAACTTCATGTAATTTTAAACCGCTCGTTGAAAGGAATTGCATAAAAAATGCTTAATTTCTTTGTAAATGATTCGTTATACTGGAATATCAGATAATATTTATTTCATGCAGATTAATTAACGATTAAGGCGTAGCGTACCAGCAAAAATTATACAGGATCAGTACGGTAACCAAATTTCAGAAATTTGCTAACCATATATAAAGCCATTATAAAGTTTAAGAATACAAAATTATGGAAAAGTTGCTTTCTAATAAAGCAACAATATCTAAGTGACATTGGAAGACTACAGCAGGATTTATTGACTCTGCATAGCTGCAGCGAACGAAATTTCATAATTGCTATGGTGGGCATATGCTAACAAATTTGCTGCGCATGAAGCATCGAAGGGATAGGATTCTTATCTGTAAGGTTTGGACGAGCTCAAAGTTATCCCTAGTTTAAAAGGAATATACACGTAGCAACAATTTATGCTTCACTTTTATGAAATTGTTTATGGCATTTTTCTTTGAACTTCGATCACTCCATTCCATCCAGCGACAAAACAATTTTTTATGACAGTAGAATAATCACAGATATCAAAGAAGACTTTTAAAAACTCAATATCTCAGTTAAAGTCAATTAGACATAGGTCATGACATTGTGTATTTTGTTCCAATGGTAATGGTGGTCATCCAAACACACATGGAAATAAGCTCTGTAGTGATTTACAAGTAAACATTAAAAATTCAGACTTGAACCCACATCCCTGTCTTGGTGCTGTAGTGATTTCAAGTTGACGGGTGCTGGTTTATCAATCAATTATCGCAAGGTGCTTTCAACCTGATCCAGTCGTCACGTGTTCAGTGATGATGGCCGTGATGGTGGGGGGCGTGGTGTGGGGGAGGATGATGCTACAAGAGAAATCAAAGGAGACAAATTAAGGAGATTGCGCCGACTGATCACACATGACCGCATCTGGGGGAATACAATCAGATTGGCACGAAGCATTTATACGATCGCATTTTACATGTATCCCCTTTTTGTAATGTTTACTTTTTTGTTTGTTATCATGCAGGGTGTGTATTACTTGAAGAGAGCAAGATACTAATTGTCTACGCTTACAGTATATTCATGAATTTGTTAAACTGAAAAGGGAAACTCATTTGATGAATGTAAAACTTGATATCTTGTCTCTTTTGGGGCAGTTGAATTTGGATAATATACTCACGTGCACGTCATGATGCACAGGGGTATGGTGGTGTGGGTCCACGTGGTGATGTGGATCTACGTGGTGATGCGGGTCAACGTGGTGATGGGGATCTACGTGGTGATGCGGGTCAACGTGGTGATGGGGATCTACGTGGTGATGCTGGTCAACGTGGTGATGTGGATCAGCATGATGACCGCCATGATGAGCAGCCTGGTGGCTTTCGTGCTAGAGAAAGATGAGAAAGCAAAACAAATAATTCAACATCAAACTTGTTTGTGTTCGGTTTATTTTCTGTATTAAAGGGGGTCGGAATAAAAAGCAACAGATATTATATGTGGCTTCGCACCTTTGGGCGGTCTGTTAAGTGCGGTATCCATCCATGGAACTTCGAAAAAAAGATCAACTTGGCTCCAGTTTGGATAAACTAAAAAGGTAGGACCCCATACAGAATGGCAACAACAATTTTGTTGCAAACCTGCAAAACGGCAGATCCGGACTTGGGAAAAGATTTAAGGAAGACTTACATGATGGCCTCCACCGAAGATGTTTCCCAGAAGACCGTGGCCATGGCCATGTCCGTGTCCATGGTGATGACTCATGGTGGATGACGCTGTAGTTGAATAAATTTAGGCCTTGAAAATGGAAGACCGTTGTTGGTGTTTTGATGACAAATGCTGGAGTGAAACATCTCTCCAAATCACAGCCCTATATAAGCAACCCCGACAATACAAGCTCACGTGACTTGACCGACCGTGCGTTGTATATACGTCATTGAATTTAAGTAGATCAATTATGGGATAACAGGTATGGTGAAAAAGATTAAGTAAACAGTTAAATAGCCCAACATTTTCTGCTCAGAGTTCAAGTTTTTCAAAAGGGAAACTGGACCATGTTGCCAAGGCAACGTGCAACTTACGTAGATACAGGTAGGAAATAAACGTTTTTAGCGCGAAATCAAATGAAATCCTTCTGGAGATACCTCGAGGCGCATTATCTTTGTATGTTTTTGAAGCAATGCCTGATTACGGTGTTAATATGAGGTACACGGTGTTAATAAAGGTATCATAAATGTTTATGTTCAAATCGAACATATCAAACCACTCTTGTGACGTCACCTTCAAAAGCGTCGAATGTAACCTCAAATTCTTGAAATAACACATTTAACTCTTAAATAAAATAAAAAAATAAAATAAAAAATGCCAGATCCAAATTGAATTGATAGACGCAGAAATCACAGTTGTCAGCATCAAGCACAATGAGACCATTTTAGGCCGTCTATGGCCTGATATTCTCGTCTCAGTGGCGTAAATTTGTCTGGAAATTGGGGGACGGGAAAGGGGGGGATGACTTGTCCGGCCATGAAAGTTTAAAAGTGGAAGGTGACACCGTATGACACCGCACCTTTAATTTTCCCCCTTTTGGAGTGATATTATATGAATTTCAGTGGTTGGAAGTCTTAGAAATTCTTCACAATCCGCCTTAATGTTTTGCTTACCACAAAAGGTGGGGAATGCCCCCCCCCCAAAGACAGTTGGGAAGGGGTGAAAAATACTCCCCTTGCCCCTGCAATTTGCGCCTATGCCTTTTTTCTATGACTGTTGCGATTTAACTCTGTTTTTGTTCAGTAACGATCTGGCCGACTCCCGGTTCCCCGCTCCGTGCTAGATACATCCCTTTATCGAACATTCACTACCAGCAAATAATTTGTAGATAAGCAATTGTCCTCTTCAATTTTAGGTTACACGGTTCTCGACCTTAGTAATATTAACATTGTTAATCCGCGTGCATAATGCCGAAAGTTTGAGAGCAAGAGTCTGTCCCCTTTCCTTTTGAAATCCTGCCTCGTCTGATCAAAGAATTACCACTATTGTTGAAATTCCCACCAGTGTGAAAGACATGACGACCCCAAGGAACCCTCATCGAGAAAGTTTTCTTGCAATGTTTCCTACAACCACTTGGACTTGACATTGCATAAAAGGGAACAGTTAATGACATTCAACATCATTAATTGACAATTTAAAAATAATCGTACTCAATAATACATAATATAGAAGCATTCACGAAGTGTTATTCATCTGTCTTTATTCTTGAAATGATTTCTACTTTTAGTGATAAGTAACACATTATTTACATCGTTATGAAATAATGAAAATATGATACAAACTGTCTTTTGCAAATTCGAGTCCGTTTTGCGGACTTTAAATGGGGTTAAGTAGTAATTACCCAGAATGCATCCTCCATGATATGCTAAACTTCCCTCCTCGCAAAATTTTGGCCCTTTGAACAACTTCATGGAGATTCTTTTCCATGCCAGAAATTGCGTATAAAAAAACAGGCAAATGCATAAACGACAAATTATTTCCTCTTGGTTTGTTTACGACTCAAGTGAGATGCATTTTGCATGCAATGCATAATGAAATTTACTCTTCGACATCGTGAGCTTACATGTCCCGAAGAGAAATGAAACTTAGTGTCCAGTGACCCTGGAAACGAAAACACGTATCTAGGGATTGCTTCTCAACTCGTTCGGAGACTATACCGGAGTGTTTAAGTTTCAACGGAGATGCTCGATCGGTTTTATTTCCAGTTTTTATGTTCAGTGTGGGTACTGTGGAGGATATGCCGGTGGTGCAGGATAGGCTGGTGCCGAGGGGTACGCTGGCGTGGACGGATATGCAGGGGCAGCGGGTGCAGCTTGGATGGCCGGTGGGGCTACTGAGTAGGGAGGTGGAGCAGGTTGCATGGGGGGCGGTGGTGGTGGGTGTTGTCCAGTTGGATACGCAGGCACAACAGCTGGTGGAGCCTGAAAATGACACAAGGAAGACAAGGTATTCGTAATTCAGTCCATGGCGGTGTTTGATGATTTCGGCATCTTCTAATGTAAAAAGGTATTGAGTCTGAACATTTAAACCAATCTTGATATTAGTTGACGACGGGCACAACTTTAATCGATTCAGATGTGAAGAACCTCCTGTATGTAGCAGTGTTGATGTGATGTAGGCCCTAATGAAAACATGAAGAGCAGACCATCTGCCCACGTAATGTTTTTGAGCCGTATAAGCCACAACGGCCAAGTCTTGATCGTCAGAAATTCTACTAGATATGGACGGACCACCATGGACGGACACACTCAAGGCTACTCATGCAGATCAAAAATAGACGACAGGAATAACGTCTATTAGAACTCGTGGGTGACATAAATGTAATGTTAAGTTACGTAATGCTGACGACTCACCTGTACATGTACAACGGTTGGCTGTGCGGGCCGACGAGACGCAGCTCCAATCGCAGCACCTACCGCTAGACCAGTTATGATGCCACCGGGGTGGTGGTGATGATGTCCATGGTGGTGGTGGTGATGCTGTGTAGAAATTGCGGATAACATCAGGTAACAGGTTAATTTGCAGCAACGTTGTCAGTGTTACGCTTATTGGCGATGGCCTAAAGCAAAGTTATCGAGTAACAGTATAAGTGCGTGTGTTTATTCTCGCACAGATTCAACTCTCCCATTATGTACATTCATTTTTCACTGCACATTTTCATCGACAAAGTTCGTGAGATTGATAGTTCCAATTTCAATTTTGGTATTCTATAGTCAACATGCACACGATCATCTCCTTTAAATGAGCCTACCGGTATTACACCTGCCTGAAATAACATCACATTTACATACATGGTGACCAAAGAGTCCGTGTCCGTGATGGTGGTGGTGATGATGATGCAGAGGCATTTCGACACTGAAGATTGGACAATCTAAAAACAAAGGAAATGTGAGGATAGATTCTTGCGTTTGCTTGAAATGGTGTTACTGGCTCTGCCAGTATCACCGATGATATACCGGTTTTGAGTTGTTAAAAATAACTCGTCATGTGACGATTTATCGCGCCTCTACGTCACCAAACTACGTCATTGAACTTTGGCCCTGATCGAACATTGTGAAGCTGTAAGCAGAAAAGGTCGCTCTAAATTTAAGCTATATGTCATACACATATTGAATGAGTCGGTCCTCATCTACCAAATTAATTTACAAGTTTAGGACAGTAACACATGGAAGACTTGAAGTTGTACTGAAGGATTTTCTCAGGATGTTTCCTGACACAGATTTGTTGTCAGTGGCTTCTTTCCAAACTTATATTATAAAACACTAGTGTTCTATAAAGATAGCCCAGCATGATTTCGTGGTCTACAACGATAACAAGACAGATAAACTGTTCGCACCATGGAGCTATAAAACGGACCACACTGTCTGCATTGCAAAGCAGCACCTGATAATGGCGGGAAGGATTGGACAGATACAGAATATTTAAAAGTCATGTGATAATCAGCACCGTTTTACAAGCATTACTTATTTGTTTGGTTCCCCGTAGTGACAAAGTGTTCTTCCACGTCCAAGCGGGAAGGCTTATCCCCACGACATTTTTGGTTTATTGCTTGTAAATATGTGTGGTGTACACTGCATTAATATTTCTGAAAGGAAAACTTATTGGACTTATAGGACTACGCTGGGAAATTTAGGCAAACCTGTGTCAGGTTAGGGCGAGGCTAGGCATTTTCGACCAAACAATTGACAATTCCCTCGGTGTGAGAGTTTTAGGGGAAAATATAGATGAATCTCAAACAATTTTATGATCTAACGATCATAAAACCAACAACAATCCTTTTCTATTTAATTAAACATTTATATGAAGAGAAGATCTTTCTACCTATCACAGATACCTTCAATCTCTGAATAAACCATTCGTCAGTCTTGAATCATGTTTGATATTTCAGTTTATTTACATTTTTAACTATTCCACAGAGAGTAGGAAATGTATTGCATATTTCAGAATGTGCGAAAGATACGAAGTTAACAAAACAATAGTTAGGAAAATGATTGCAATAATAATAAAAATGAAACAAAGATATAATATTAGGGAACTGTGTGTGACAAACGTCATAAAAATGCATTATTGATAATTCCAGCAAGTCTATCCTTTTGAAAAAGTGACCGTTTGTCAGCAAAGTTTAAATTTCTAAAAACTGATATTCCCACAAATGAGCAACCTTTCTGCCATGGATACTCAGTTCAAATATCGCTCTAGTATTGCAGACTTACTTCTTTTTCATCTTTTTTGATGGAAATAAGCATATTTTCTTTGGTTGAAACACCCATCACCTGTAAATGTTAAAAATTATTTACATAACAAAATTTCAAAGACACAACTCCTTAGCTGATTTTTTCATAGTTGGAAAAGCGAAGTTACTGTACTAATAAGGGACGTTTTCTTAAAAAGTGAGGACCTTTTGTCCTGTTTCGTTTCTCTCTGTTATTTAACGAGGATATGAGGGGTAAGTTGGGGCTGATGGGTAAGTCGGTTGAGCCGGTTGTTGTGGGTAGGCTGCAGGTGCTGGTGGAGGGTACGAACCGGTTGGATAAGCCGGGGCCACGGCAGGTGGAGCCTGGGGATAGAATTATACAAAATTGAAAGTTTGGAAGTAAGTTTCTCACCGGGTCTCTGTCTTCGATGCCATTCATTAGAATAAATTCTGGAGGGTTCTAAACCAAAATGTGGAACCCCCCCCTTAGCCTTCAGTTCGGGTCGATTTGGCTGAGCACACTGCTTACCACACTATTCTACAAACCAGAAATACCACCAGGGTATCATCCGCGCAACTCTGAACCAGTAAATTATAAATCAGGTCCAAAGAGAAAATATCAGTGACCAAGCATGCAGTAGTGTTTTAAGCATGCCTCTTGACATTCCTTTTTAGTAAGCACAACTTTTTGAATCTGTTTATACCATAATTCAGTTTAACAGTGTGAGTAAGGACAAGGAAGACCAAAGCAAGGAAAAGCGACTGGAACACGTCTGGTATTTGTAAATGACTTACTTGAACGTGCACAACTGGAGCAGGTTGCCGTTGTGCTGCACCGATTGCGGCTCCAACCGCAATTCCAGCCGCAACACTCCCGATATGTGGCCCGTGGTGATGATGGTGGTCATAGTGGTGGCCATAGTGGTCATAGTGGTGGCCATGGTGGTCATAGTGGCCATGGTGATGGCCATGGGGGTCATAGTGGTGATCATGGTGAACCACGTGGTGGTGATGATCATGGTGGTGATCATCATGCTATGCGAAAAAGAAAATCGTCCAACAATTAAATACTTTGTAACAAATATTTTGATTTTTTTCACTCAATCTTTGACACTTTGTACGTACTGGCAATGAAAAATTAAAGGTTCGTGTTTACAAAACTCATAATTGTTTTCAATGCACTGGATGAAATTATAGAAATTCTTGCTACGCCCACTTGATGTCTTAAGGCACCTATTAGGACAATTGGTTTACTTTAAAACAAAAGAGTGGAAAGAAACGTAGTGACTTACATGACCAAATAGACTGTCAAGAATCCCGTGTCCATGGTGATGGTGATGGTGATGGCTCATCTTGAAATTGTTCGATGGATGAATTTGTACAACAAAACGAAGTCGACGTCTAGTGATTTTTCAATCTTAGACAAGAAGTGAACAAACTCAAGCCACGGTCCAAATTATGACAGCTAACATCGGACTCAACACCGCAAAGAAAGTCAGATGACTACGCGGGTGTAGTGCGTCATCTACATACGTCACTACGCATCGTCTGACAAACAAGATTTGGGATTTAAAGTCAACACATATGCTCGAATAAAATCTAGGCCCAGGGCAGTGTTGTGTGAGTTGGATGGTTTTTGATAACAAACGTCAGAACTTGAACTCATTTGCAGATTACAAACGGAGATAGGGTGTATGTTGAGTGTTGAGTGCTCCGAAAATAGCAAAAAACACTTCGTAGATAACTTAAGTTTGATCGAGTGGTAGAGTTCACGGGTTCTGGTCCAGAATGCGGTCTTTTATGCGACCTTTGTCACTATAAAACGCGGGCTTTCATTTTAGTAACCTTTCTGTGCTGTGATGGATTGAAGTTACCCCCGGTAGGTCCTACTCGTTTCTCCAATCCCCGTTGGCGTTTTGTTTGTAGACTCTGACTTTCGATCACATTTTGGTTAAAATTACAAATTAAAATTTGCATAACCAAATAAAAGCTTTACCACTGGCGTAACTAAGGGAGTACCCCTTCCCAGCTCGAGGCCTGTGTCCCTCAGGCTTCCCCATCCCTGTCTGGCAGAAATTAGAGAAGGAGAAAATATTAGAAGGGAGTTTGCCTTGGTCAGTTTTGAACTGATGTGACAGAACTCTTGCACTACCCTCCAGACATTGTGGGCTTTTCTTCGCCCGCTCCTTTCAGAGTATAAGCCGGTTACGCCACTCTCTACATTTGTTCATTATGACCTCTTGATCAGTGCTTTAGCCGTTCCGAGTTTCGTTGTTACCGACGTCCGAAGTGTGCTCTTAGATTAAAATTTCAGCCTCTTGTCTTATGGACGTCTGCACCTGTTGCCCTTGACTACCGGAACTGCGTTCTGTACCTGACCATCAGCGGTTTTCTGATTTTTCTTTTCCTCACGTTTTGTTTTGACCAACTAAAAGCCAACGCCTGCAACTAATTGAAATAGTCAGGAATTGAAGGGCGATCTAAACTGGTTCCAATGACAGTAATTATTCACAAAAAATAGTGATTTGCATCCAAAGGTGGCCATTTCCTCCAGAAGCGCTTGCGGAATTATGTGGACTCTCAAAATCTTACATAAAAAAAAATCCCACGGCAGATTTTTTTAATTGTTAAACTAAACCCCAGTCCTTTCACTGTCCTTCAAATGTCGGGTTATTTAGTGTTAAAATAACAAGAGAGGGCGCTCAACTTATTCCGGAAAACTCCACGCGGGTACGGGTACGGGGTGCGCTGCACTCGCATGTGGTCGATCAACAATAGCTTAACGAGAGACTATACAAAGAAATATTTTACTCAATCATTCACGTGTGATACATTTAAGGTAGTTTAGATTCTTCATCGGCAAAGTTCAGGAAGTTGTTCACCAACAGGTGAGATTTAATGCACTTGATAGTCGTCTTGATCATGATTTAAATGCAGTTTTCAAGTCATCGGGTCGAAATTCCAGATTACATGTACTCGCGACAACACAGTGACTTGCCAAACCATGCCAACGATATTGTGTATGCCCCTGTACCAACATCACATTCCTAGTCTTATTCTCCATGATCCATCATGTCCATGGTCATGGTGTAATGCTAAGCGCAATCTTAGGCAGCATATTTTAAATTTGTGCATAGGTCTAGGGCTTACAACATGTCCAATTGCCGCCCAAAAGGTGTCACACTTGCCTGGGTCTACATGACATATTGACCTGGATCTGGAGTCAGTACTATTAACAAGTAGAATAAGGCTAGGCCAATTCCTTTGTCCATTGTCAAAGCAGTGACCGTCCCAAAATTTTGCCACCTGCTGTCAAGTTTCATTGGTTTTCACAGTAAGTGACAAAATAAGGGACCTGCCATGCCGACTATCAGACTATACTGTTATGGACGTCAAATCGTAAGTTAAGCCTTTCGTAGTCTTGTCGTACAGATATTGTGTGTTATGCTGCCATGCCCAGGGAAATACATGTCAGGCCCTACCACTTCTTAGGTATTTTGCTCATGCTTTTTGAAAGAAATACATGTTTTTTGGAACAGAAGAAGTCGACTCAAGGAGTATTAAAATGACAAGTGAATTGTGTGCTGTCTTTTTGTTCTTGAAAAAGTAATGCACTAAGTCTCAAGTCTGTCATTTTTGAAATCTGCAGGATTTTGAAATGGCTGTTGAAAATGTGGCAGAGACTTCACAAAAGCACCCTCTCGCTGGGACAGGAGAAGATATCACCCCTAACAAGGATGGAGGAGTCTTAAAATCTATTATAAAAGAGGGTGATACCACTGAAAATGATCGGCCCATGAAGGGGGATACAGTGCATGTGCATTATGTTGGAACTTTGATGAATGGGGAAGAGTTTGACTCTAGTCGGAAGAGGAATGAACAGTTTTCCTTTAAGTTGGGAGAAGGTAATTTTAGCAAGAGTCATATATGTACTAGTTCAGTTAAGTGTACATTTTGTCACCTCATAAAAATTATTCTTAAATTTTTAACCCCCCTTCAATTCTTTGCTTTTTTTCTCCGGTGAGAAATGCAGCATTATTGAAACAAAATTCTGTGTAGCAGATTCATTACCTGATCTGAAATGTGTTTTATGCTCTACAGGGCGAGTAATCAAAGGCTGGGATTTGGGCGTGGCTACAATGAGAAGGGGGGAGGTTTGTGTTCTCACGTGCAGCCCAGAGTATGCTTATGGAAAAAATGGTAAGTTGTTCAGAATTTTCAGCCTTTCCCTTAAACAAAGATCTGACGTAAATGTGGACTTACAGTCATATGACTGATATTTGATGATGTTAAGTTTTTTGATTGACAATATTTTTTGATCAGGTCAGGGCAAGATACCAGCTGATGCAACACTAGTCTTTGAGGTGGAACTGTTTGATTGGTCGGGAGAAGACCTGAGCGATGATAAAGATGGTGGCATCATACACAGAGTGATCACAGTAGGGAAGGGATTTGACAAGCCAAAAGAAGACTCTAGTGTCACAGGTAAAATTGCTGCAACTACTGCTCTTCACACAGTGTCGTGCCCACACGTATCCTATCTTAACCTTAATTCTTGAGGTCACTTTGCTAAAAAGGCACCTTCCTGACCGAAGTCACGAATCTATCCACGTCGTCAGAAATTTGGGATCATGGTTCGATTCGAAAATGACAATGGGCACTCACATTACTAAGACTTGTTTTGCAGCATTTTTCCATCTTTACAATATTAAGTGCATCAGTAAATTCCTCTCTTGCAATTCTCAATGTCCATTCATGCATTTGTGACCAGCTGTCTAGACTATTGTAAGTCTTTTGTATGATTTGCTAACAGCACAAATAATGAGATTAGTGTGAGTCCAAAATGCTGCAGCTAGACTCTTAAAGTTTCAACACATAACATCAACATAGGATCACGTTCACTGGTTATTGACAAGAATATAATATCAAATCAGTGCTCCGAAATATGTGATTGCCGAGCTTTTGATAACTGCGTACCTTCTTCAGGGCAAGCAGATTCTTGTCGATATTCTGATTACGGTGCTACGCAGCCCTTCCATATTCCATGTTCACTGCTTACCTGTTCTGTACAGGATTAACTTTAAAATTATTTTGTTACCATACAAAGCCTGGCCATTTTCAAATGTAAAGTTGCATTTTTCAACCTGGTCCTCTTTGTTACCAATCTGTTAATCGCCATGAACCCAGTCTCTATCGTAGCATTAGTCACAGGGAACATTAGCCAGACAGGAAAGAGATGAAGAATGGTAAACAAACTTGCTGTCCTTTTGGCCTTGCTCTGAAAAAAGGTGGAACCTGCAAATGAAATAGATTATCATTGTTTCTGAGTGTTTTTGAAGATTTACCAGTTAAACTCTGATCCTGTTTCATTGTCCAAAGATTTGATTGTGATCAAGTGTCCTCCTTGAGGACACAAGTATCATACTTCCTGGGGTAGAATTCAGACGTTGCAAAAATGGATTCATGAGACAGCAACCAAGGGGTCATCGTCTCATTTGTCTGATCTCATTTTTTTTTCTATTTTCCCCTTTTTATCTAGTTCATATTGTTGGCAAGCATGGGGATACTGTGTTTGATGAACGTGATGTCAGTTTTGTAATTGGAGAAGGTAAGCCAAAATAAAAATTCTTGCATATGAAATAGAAAAAAAGAGACTTTCTTCTTGACAGACTTTGTCATAATGACTTAGTGTAGAAGTATTCAAAGATTTTTGGGTTTGGAATTGACAGGTTCTGAGCACAACTTACCAAAAGGCTTGGAGAAAGGTATTCAAGAAATGTTGAATGAAGAGACAGCCCAATTCACAATCAAGCCCAAGTATGGATTTGGAAGCAAAGGTTGTGCAGAGTGGAATGTTCCTCCTGATGCAACCATCAAGTATCAGGTCACACTCAGCAATTTGGTCAAGGTACGAGTATGCTGAGATTAAGGTACTAACAAGACTGTCAATGTTATCATCAACTGGGTGAACAAAGGAACTTACTGGGTTGGTTTGGAACCTACCACGTTACCTAAAATATATTAAAACTTCTTAATTTGTCCACTGACTCTACTTTGGCACTGATTAAGCCTTGATTGCATTATCAATATAGATCATGAGTAAAATAGATCATAAATATAGAAAACGACTGGTTAAATGTTCATGTTGCTGAAAGTTTTCAGAAATCAAGCAGAGTGGGTGTTAAGAAATGAAAATGGGTGTAGAAAACTTAGCCAGGTCTTGACTCAAACTGAGTCAGGCCTTGACTCAAACTGAGTCAGGCCTTGACTCAAACCGAGTCAGGCCTCAAATTGAGTGAGTCATTCATGTACAGTGATAAAGATTCCTCTCATATTCACTGTTTATTTTCATTATCTGGGTTGTACCGTTGTAGAAATACTGCCCATCTCACATTCTGTTGACATTTTAAATTTTGCTGTACAGGCCAAAGAATCCTGGGAGATGGATCACGACGAGAAGTTGAGTGCAGCGGAGAAGTCCAAGGCGAAAGGGACAGAATATTTCAAGGTAGAAGGCATGGGATGACTTCATTAGTGTAATTTATTGTATTTGTTTCATACTTCATAAAACAAAGTTGTCTTTAAAATGTATAGCTACACATGGGACTTTGAAACATGAAGAAAAAACACAAAATGTCCAGACCAAGGCCAATCCACTGGTTTACTTCTAGCTCTTTACTTTTACTGCTGTTCATGTTTTGGAGAAGCATCGGAGAAGGTTACGATGCTTCATGACAGAATAAATGCCAGTGTTGTATTCAAGTCCATCAAAAGTCCCTGTACGTCCATGACAAGTCATTCTGTCTTCAGCCAAGTCACACGCTATACAAACGAACAGTGACGAAACCTGTTGCTTACGACTTACCTTGAGAAGGGACTTGTGACTGGCCTTGTCAAGGGACTTGTGACTGGCCTTGTCAAGGGACTTGTCAAAGAACTTGAATACAACACTGGTAAATGCTTACATCTTCGGTTCGCTTCACTAACTTTGAAAATGGTTCATGTTGACAGGCAGGTAACTACAAGAAGGCTATCAAGCAGTATACGAAGATCCTAGATTACCTTGATTCATATCCAGACATTCCTGAAGAGCAGAAAGCAAGCTACAAGGAGCTTGTTCTTGCTGGACATCTAAACCTTGCCATGGCGTACATCAAAAACAAAGATAATGCGGAGGCTGTCAAGTCTTGTGATAAGGTATGATGGGATATGTTAGGTGACAAGGACCCTTGTGTAGGGTTAGGAGGAAGAATTAGTCTTGGAACTCAGCTGCTCTGACACCATTTCCTGGTTAACTTATTGGGAAAGTTCTGAATGTCTGAAGAAGAGAAGGTTGCAACATGGGTAAACAGTTTGCACAAGAAGGTATTCTTGTAGCTTGTCATTAAAAAGACATGTTCACTTTTTTGGTCAGAACTATAGCTCTTGTGGGTACACCTATCAATTAACTGTGATTTAATTTGGTTGCAGGCCCTGAAAGTTGACCCTGATAACGTCAAAGGCCTGTTTAGACGAGGTCAGGCTAACTTAGCCATGTCGGATCCGATCCTTGCCAAAAAGGATTTCAATCGTGTGGTGGAACTGGACCCTGAGAACAAGGCAGCTAAGAACCAAGTGACAATATGTCTGCATCAGATCAAACAGGCAGCGCAGAAGGAGAAAAGACTCTACAGTAACATGTTTGAGAAATTTGCCGAGCAAGATCGTAAGGTAGGCTCACCTTAATATTATTTTAAGGCTTGACAAATCTGGTAATTGTTTTGGAGGGTGGAAGCTGGGGTGATGTATTACATACATGTTCCAAAACTTCAAGGGAAAAATAATTTAACAGCAATGTTTTGGTGCTGTTTCAAGGGGAACTTGTTTTTCCCCTCTTCCACCTCTACTTACTAACGGAACTGCCTATTATTACCAAAGCCTTCTGTACTGAAAGGGACAGTTCCATTTTTCAGAGAGCTACTTTTACTTTGTTCACAGGCGGAAGCGCTTAAAAAGAGCAGTGATCCCCCTCAGGAATTTGGTGGAGTTTTCAACAAGGAAGATGTAGAACAACCGAGTGATAAGGACAAGGTTACAGACAGCGGTGATGGAACAAGTGAAACAAAAACAGAAAGCATGGAAGCAGAGGTATAGGGATTGCCCTCAACTATTTTACGTGTGATATTGACCATTGTTTACTTTTATATGAGTTGATGCAAATGCAAATGTTAGAATTAGATTGACAGGAAATGGTCAGACAATGTGTGTTCACAACATGCAAAGGTGTGAAGGTGGGCAGAATTCCAGGTATATTTGAGTATTCCTCCTGTATGATTGAAGTATGTGCAGGAAGTTAATATTTAAACATCAAACAGTAGTGGAGTTAAAACAGGAAGAGTTGAGACATTTTGAAGACAGGTAACTGTTTTATGTTTGTAGTATCAAATGGTGAATGTGGTTTGGACTGAGCAAAGTTTGTCAAACATTAAACAGAAGCAAAGTAAATAAGCAAGTTAGGATAGGGCTGTTTCTTTTCTGTTGTCACCCTTTGCCAATAGTTTTTTGTAAAGTTGAAGATTCTATTCCACAAGCATTTATACATGTATATTTTTGGTGCAAAATGACAACCTCTTGTAAAGTAGCATCTTGTGTCTCACAGCTTCAACGCCATCAGCACAGACAACTTAGGAACAGGTTGTAAAGTATAAGCTTCCAATCAGTTGTTTCCTCAAAGCTTGCCCTGTCCTTTTTGAAAGAGCTAAGTGAATTTACCTCATTGTTGGGTTACTTTTGATTTATAAAATACGGTTTCAGTGTAAGGCTGAATTTCTTGTATAAATGGGAAATTAGAGGGAAAAAAAACTGAAACTGAAAAAAAAATCAACTCATGTATCAGCACCACAAATGGGATATAAGTTGCCTGGATTTTAAGAAAATTACAGGTTCTAGGGTAATATTTTGATGTTGTATATTTTATGGGATGTCTGTGATTACATCTCTGAAGTTTGTAACCACAAGTTGATGTGTTCCCTTCATGCTCAAGCAAGCCATTCCTCAAATTGAGTCTTGTAGAAATTCTTATCTAAATTATGCCTAGATTGTCGCCTAACCAGATTGGATGGATTGAAAAAGGAGTTTTAGAGTTTGAAACTTAGCATGCTTCATTTTACTAGAGAAATGTTTGCCTGAAAGATCAAATTAAAATCTAAGGTTGCAGTTTGATGCCACCATTGAATATTTATCCCCGTGCTCTTCATGTTTATTCACTATTTCTCACAAATTGGAATGTATGTCAACCTGCTGCACCTTTAAAAGTGTTTTTGTTTTGTCAGCTAAGTCACACAAATTAAAACTTTGACTAAATTTGCAAACATGTTTTGAATTATCACTTCAAATATTTCTGAGCACCTCAGATGTCCATTTCAGTGGTGTAATATTCAATGCAGCAATTTGCCCTGTTGAGAAAATAATTCGGTGATATGACTGCGGTTATTGCTCGGAATGACACAGGTACTGAGCCACTTCTCATCGATGTCCGTTACAGCCACAGTCAGTCAATTTGGACATGGCATAAGTCAGTAACATAAAATATCTCTAGCTTAGCACTGTTTCTTTCCAACTCAAATTCTTCACACGGAGCATGTCCACCAATGTTAATTGGAAATATTAATGGATGAATGTTTTGACTAAAATTAGTTTGTAATAAACTTAATATTCCAGAAATAAAGTCTTTGCCTTTGATGCACCAATACTTGAATTGTCTGCTTTTGTTAAAGGCAAACCAACTCACCTCACCCACTGGCCTGGAAAACAGATCCTAACAGGAATAAATTCTATCAAACAAGCCAAGAATCATTTCCACTATCCAGATAAACCTTTTATTCAGTTACTAGTGTGCAATGTCTCAATGCTCAATGGCAATATTTTCCAATAAAACATACATGTACAACTAACGCAAGATACATGTACTAAGATTTTTGTTTTTCAACGGTCAATATAATCTCAATATGAGGAGTGCTACAGGTGTTTCTGTCATCTCTGAATTTCCTCGTTACACCAACAACAATGATTCCAAAACAATGAAAAGCATTCAAGTGAACTCAATTCATGATGTAGACAAAGAGCAGAAGCAGACAAAGTGGCTGATCACTTTGACACAGGCGTTTCCATTCCAATCAAGGACATACTGTATTTTGAAGTCACAGGAGTATTCGATTCCTTCAGACGACGAAAGGTTCAAATCTTAGAAATGTCCTAAGCTTGCCTTGCTGGATCCTGAATCTGGCTCAGAATAACAGGACTTAGAATCTTGACCAAGACTACTTGATTGCAACAAGTTCATGGGTGTCACAAGGGGAAGGAGCCTCTCCCCCCGGAAAATCGAAAAAGAAACGAAAATGGTGAAAAATGAAAAGAAATAAAAAGAGGTGACAAAACCCTCATTTTACACAACATCTAAATTGAGACCCCCCTTCATTGTTAATAGTTTATCAGTTCACAGGGGATGATTGCTCCTTCCCCCTTCCTGGAAATGTCCCAATCAATTGCTCAAAGTTCTACAGGTAGAGTACGACCACTGTGGCAATGCAAGGTGCATCTTCTTGTAAATAATGACTACTTCACTTTGGTTGGGCCAAATGATATTGGTTTTCTCTTTTTACAAAGTGCTTATGCTATTTCAGAAGTCACTGACATTTATCTAAAGGACTTTAAGGTTGTGAAAAATATATTACAATGATGGCTCATTGTTAATTAACATAATTAATTACTTGTCATTGTGAATGTCTATTAGTACTCTCATGGTGTATCAATCTACTTCTCACAATCAGCTGCGTATTAACTACAATTAGAAAAAAACTGGGGCTGGCTGTGTTATAACTGGAGACAGTTTTGATTCTTCAGAAAGTTTTACATTCATCCAAAACATAACCAGCACTAAAATATGAGAGGTGAGATGTTTTGCTTTGCATATTGTCAATTTTTATGCAAAAAACAATTACTAATGACAACTTTTTTTAAACTGTGGTGGAGAAATGCAGAACCTGCTGCTGTTTACTGAGTTCAGCGAACTATTACAAAGCCTTGGAAAAAAGATTCTGCCATTCTGCAAGTATTGATACATCAGACCCTCTATAAACTTTAAAAACGTTGTGCTTGAAAGATGCATGTTAAGATACTGGTATATCCCATCACTGGCTCCATATTGTAACTCTAAAGGGTAATCTCATTGATGAATGGGCACCAGCGCCCTCTACAGAGCCCACAGACCCTGTGGTCAAGCACCTGAAATTGCTAAGATGTACATAATCTGCACCTGTAGTTATTGTTCTCGGTTAAGTTTTGCTACATCTCACACACATCATTATTATAACAAAGTCGATAATAAAGTGTTAGTTTTACACGCCAAGATAAAACTGGCAGTGAATTTCCCTCAAATAATCTAATCAAAAAATCTTGTCTTTTTCACCATTAAATAATCCTGTTGCCACAGTAAAATGGGCAGTGCTTCTCAACAAAGTGGAAGTTCCCAATTTGTGGAATTCCATCTCAGCATTGACATATTTCCATTCTCCTCAATACCCGCAACCAACACTGCCAAGATCACTTCCATCATACATAAGTCAATATAAAATATACTGGTGAATATAAATACTATTGACCAGCCTGCTAATACCTGTTATACTTTTGAATGATGGCATCTTCTCATCATATAGACTAAATTAGGCACCAACCAGTTTTCTTGTTTTGTATTTATTCAAACTTCTTTCCTAAACGATTTTTCAATATTACCGGTAGGATTGACACAACGGCCAAAACAGCTAGAACAATGACAGAGGTCCAAGAAACGGCATCACCATAGTGACTGAGTTGATACAAAGTGGTTCCCGCTTGGATTGCTACGAAAGACGGTGGTGCTACTCCTAGAGCAAGAATAAAGATTCAAATATTTCAAGTTTGTTTTAAGTTTGTTACTCTTACCACTGATGGTGGGTGAGAACTCACTGAAATAAGATAATAGGAAATAATAATTCTCAAAGTAGGATATTTCTATTTTACTGTTTGTGTCTGTGCTAGCCAATGAATATGCCAAAACATTTCTGAATTATTTAATAAAGCTGGTCTCCACAATATTTTTATCCCTGCTCAAAACAGCTTCTGCTTCCCTGAAATTAAATGGAGCATTCTTGTGACACTTAAGTAAACGCACCAACCTAGGAATGTTCCAATGAAAAATGGGGTGATGGGTACTTTCAGAACAGGCGATGTGATGTTGATGAACCAGTTGGGTAGAAACGGGGTGATTCGTAGAAAAATGATGTAATTCAGAAGATGATGCCTCTGCCTGGCCACCTGAATGAGAAGAAAGAAATTTAGCAAACAATCTATAAAGCAATAATGCAGAGTCAAATTTGAAGGCAATTACCCGCTAATAATCTGGCTGAGGTTTGGCAAGTTACAAAGCAGAACATTTTCTGGCAAATTCACGGTCTAGTAAAAATCAGTTTTGCCGGTCATCTACGCCGCCAGCTAAGCATATCTACACTTAGAATAGTATTTGCTACTAAAGCATTTCTGAGAAATTAATTCTTTTAGAGAGGGCTTTGAAATCTTGAAGATCAGACCTCATCAAGGAAATATGGTGCACATTGCACAGGATGTATATAAAACAGGTGTTTAGTGGCTATGACTAAATTATTTGCCATTTATACACTACATGTATAGTAAACAGCCACAGCCATAGTCATTATCAATGAGACTTTTGTGTCTCTAACCAAGATACTGTGCAACAATTACTTCTCTACACAATATGAAGGAATCTTTCAAACTCACCGTGGCTGACCAGCTCTCTACTTTGTCTGGAATGTATTTCATGACAAGTCGGACACCAACGAGGTAGGACAATAAATAACAGTTGGATGCACCAATGGCTGAACACTGTAAACAACACAAGAACCCAATAAACAAAAACACAATTTAAACAACCTCATTCAAAATGACACGGTGCATGGAGGTGATTCTACATTTTCTATTTCTTGAACACGTACTATCAATCTTTTTACAGTACTTCTGACACAGTTGAGGCACTGAGATGTTTTATATGCATAGAAACTTTGTTAGATGGCAAAATTAGGTTGAAAGGAACTTACCAGACAGACCATGAGTAATGCTAGAGGGAATGGGAATAGGAAACCAGAGAGAATACTGAGAAATATGGAGCCGGGAATTGCAAAAGTTTGTAAGCTGAAAAAGGAAATCAGGAAAACAACTGCAATGTATAGGAATATGATCCTTTTCTACAACACTTTTTAACTTGTTGAGGTTAATTTGGTGTACTTGTTTAGGAACCATGCCCAAATGTGACCCACTCTGTGAAAAGAGCAAACTGAGTTGTTTGTTTTGATGTATCACTCAGTTTGGCATCCTGATGAAAGTGGATACTCCATAGTGACAAATGCTGGGGGTTCCTATTGATTTACACTGTGCAAACTTATTCTGAAGGACTTTTTACTTAAGAAAGTTGCTCTGGCCTCTTAAGACTCATTTTCACAGAGTGGGTCGCAAATGCAGTTAACAGTTTTCATTCTAAGATAACTACATTAATTAGGATGTCAAAACTGAGTGACACAGCAAAATGTTCTTTTGCTTGAACTCATGTGGAAACTGAAAAGCTTTTCTATGACTCAATACGAAAGCTGAACTGTCACTTGGCAAGTCAGGATTCGAGAAGGAACACATGTAGCTCAACATCAATTATTTCACAGGATTTGATGCCCTCAAAATTTATATCGGTTATTCTATAAATTCTGGGTCCAAAAGTGTGACTTTTTTGTGTCCGTTACCTGACCTGTGTAATTTGACATGGAAATATCACCTAAATTGATTTCAAACTATTTCTAGTTGTTTGGCAGGTAATTTACATAAATTCATCACCCTTGGAAATTAGAGACTGTGTCTTGAACTTACAAAATCACATGCCAGATGCAACAAGGACACAAAAAAATTGGACCCCTAATTTATAGAATGACCAATATGCAAACAGAATGTGACTTTAGGTTCCTGCAGGGTGGATGATTCTGACAATGTTTGGGTTGATAAAGGATACAATATATACGTTGTGAAGAATGCCACCATGACAGTGATGTAGTTTGTTTTGCTGTAATGAGACAACACCCTTCCCAGGGCTTTGGCATCTTCTATATCCCTAGGTAACTTCACGTATTGCACTTCATCCCTACATGTATATAGAAATGAGAAAACATATTGGATCAAAGAGAGAAACGATGACATGAAAAATCAAAACGGGTGGACAATTGATAATGAAAATGCAAAAAATTAACTGTCGATTTTTTCAAGGTCAAAGCACACATAGCAGATCAGGCCATCAGGCAAGGTCATTTTAGAACAAAGCGAGCGACCGAGGACATGTTCAGCGTGACAGTGCACAGCCTTGCTGATCAGGCTGACATCGCAAGTGCCTATTTGTTATTCCTGAATGATCTAAAGATTGTGACATGCTTTTGTTTTATGGCATGTGCTACTGGATTACCAAACTAACTATGTACTGAGTTCACTGACAGTGGACGACTAAAAAGTTGTTGCAAGGAAAGGAAAGAGTTCCATATACGGATGCAACTTGACACACTTTGCACAAACCCTATGGGATTGGTCTGAAAACTTCTAAATGTTTTCTTAGTAAACGAGTTGGTTTTTTCCCTCCTGAATAAAATTGAACTTTTTTGGGCATGTTTTTGCTTTCTGATGGCTAATAGGTCACTGAATAATTACTGGCGTTCGTATATAGAACTCTTTCCCAAGGACAAGGAAACAATGACAGGAAGTTTATCAAAGGCCTTTCAAGGTCTACTCAATAAAAAATTCAATTGCTACACATATGTTTACATGTATGGTATGCCATACTTTTATCACGACATCGCATGAACAAGAATAATGTTACTACTTACGGGTCTAAGCGTGGAAAGCTAACATACACGAAACCCATCACACCCAGGGCTAAGAGAAATATCACGCCCAAAATAATGAAAGACCTTGTAGTTTTGTTTCTATCTGTAGTATCATCTTCACTTAATTCACTGGTGGTGTTTATCACGTCAACTTTGTCCATATTGTCTGCAAAACAAGAAATATATTATGAAAATGACAAACCAACTTATGGAATCTGAGCTGAGTCCTGACAGAAGTAGCAAGAACATGAATAAATAGCATAATCAGTGCGATCATAAGACGTTACACATAGGTCAAGGCTATGCTAACAGCTAGCAGCTGGTGCTTCACATGTGCCACATATGGGGCGCATGACTGACGATCATCCTTTAACTTAGTTATATACATTGTAGCCTACCGGTGTACATCGTCATGATCGTCACTGATCGTCATGTAAATTGGGCCCTGTTGTACCAGGCAACCCAACAATCATGACATTTCGTCACAATAATAAGACGAATTAATGTCCATAAACTACACACTCACTGACTTTCGCTGAATTATTTTCTTGAGATTCCCGTAAAGGGGGTCTTTTGTACTGTGACCGCAGTGACATTTTCTCCGTACGTTTACTAACTTAGCATGATTTAGCAATGTACAGTACACATATACACGTACACGTACGTGTACCTATTTCAGCGTCACTAAAGCACATGGAGTAAAAGCGTAGACGACAGAAAACATATTGCAACATATACTGATAGGCTAGGTGGGGGCGCTTTCCACATTTCTTTTAAAGAATAGCTGAGCGTTTACTAAAATTTCGGATACCTTTTCTTTTACAGCCACCCCACAGCAATTGGGTTCCAAAGTATATTATTCCTCTTTTATAAAAACCGAGTTTTATTGAGAAAGTGAAACAGTAGTGACTAAATAATTCATTATTTATGACAGGTTATTATGCTTACATACTGCAATTCGGTCATGATGTAATTTTTTTATTTTTATCGTGACAAAACAAGTTACTAAAAAAAAAGAGACTAAAGAAATAAATTATTGACTTTACTTTGACAGGCAGAATTGAATTGAAAATGGGTGAGTCTTGTGCTTAGCAACACGATCATGACCATGTAGTCCATTTTTGTTTCGGTAATTTTAACACATTTTGTTTGATTTTAAAGTTATCAACATGTCAGGAAGAGTAGTAAAATTCGCGACTGACCAGGATAAAACCGTCCTTATGGGTAATTTTGAGAAGCGAGGCTGGGTGCAAGTGTCACCCGAAGAAGATTGGAATTTTTATTGGTGAGTCCCGGCCTGGTGAAGGACAAGAACTTACTAAAATTAAAAGATACATGATGAACGTGCATGACGAATGAATGGAAAGGCACAAAAACGAGCATCTGACTCATCAGGGCCTGTGTATTTCACAAGGATCTGAATCTTGACCAGTGATTCTAGAGTAGTAATGCATGCTGGTTCGCTCCTTATTCTTTAACACGATAGCAGGCAAGGACAGGTCACTGACAGACTGATCCGGCATTCCGGCATGTGCTCGGATGCGGATGAACATGATGAAACTGTTACGCCCCAACTAAAGCATCAATCCCAACTATAGTTGAGCCTGTCCCAACTAGAGTGTTATAGTTGGGCCGGCCTAACTATCGGTACAGTGCAGAGGTCCAATGTACATGTACATGTGCCCAGCATGTGCCAAAGTCATATTGTTTACAATGTCATGTCATAGATGAAGTGCCATATTTGAAATGAATTGTGTCAAGTGTACGATGCATAAACTTGGATAAGGTTGAGAAATTTTCTATAGGAATCAGTCAACATGGTCAACAATAGTTGGGCCAGCCCAACCACAGCAGTTGGGACTGTCTCAGCTGTAGTTGGGACAGATGCTATATTTGGGTGTAGCAAAATAAACAAACAAACAAACCCATCCCCCATTATGCTCAGCCATGTTGCTTGAGTTGACCTACTGTTAACTTAAGTGTTAGACCCCCTAATTAACAGTGTTATAACTTTTTGTTGTGGTGCTCTTATTATTTTTTGGTAAGCAAGCAAGTCATGCACATTGTCAGATTGTGTAGGGTGCACTGCACTAATTCAAGCTCCATTGAAAAAAGTGTAAAATCAACAACGTTCGGAGCCCCATTGTGGGCAACTGTGAAGTCCCTAAGGACTGTCACACAAAAAGCAATGTGTTTAGTCCTTCATATTTCATTGATTTTCAAGTTTTAGTAGGCCTAGGTTACATGTACAATGTAACTAATTAAATTTGAAATCCACCCAAAACGAACTCACCCCCCAAAAAGTAAATGTTGCCAAGTCAGTCTTCTCAGCAGCCATTTTTCTAATGACATCCCTTGAATTTCTCAGGCTCGTCTGACAAATTTTCAAAAACATTTTTGTCTGCTTTGCTGCCAGATGGGAGCCCTTGAATCTAGAGAGTTGATTCTGCGCCATACGTACACAATCCTACTCTTTTCAAAAGAAATTGTAGGGGTACTTTTTAAGCTCCTCAGCCTGGCAGAGACTTCCTTGAATTGGGACAGTGCGCCCCCTGTAGCCAAGGCCATACACTTGTATAAGTTCAGCGCACATGTACCGGTAGGAACTAGGCAGATCATGTGTTTAGAGCGCCTGACCAAATGCTGTGAAATTTGGAATCAACTTAAGCCTTACATGTGGTCATAGTGGCAACATTGCAACAGTAAATGTGTCATCACCAATCACGAATTCAAACAAATGCTCTGTGTGTAATGTGAGCATTGTGTATATGGCCATGCTGGTAATGTGCATATAGAAAGCACAGCGGAGAGACCATTTGCCTGTCCAACGAACTACCTGGTCATGCCGGTGCAGAACATGGAAGGAAGTTAGAGATGTCAGATGTAATATTTATGACATTATGTTGGATGCAACCATGATGATCGGTCAAGCTGTGCTTTTACTTGACCTAATGTTGGTGGGATCTCTCAGTCTTACGGCACAATTTGCCAATAATTCTGCCATCAGGCAGTTTCCTGTTTTTCTAATTTGCTGTTGTGAAAAATTGTTTCAAAGTACAGCCAGAGATTTCATAGACGATTGACTATAAAACAAACATTTACTTGTCAGCATAGTCACAGTCGATAAATGTGAAGGCTAATTTTACTCTAATTTTTGTATGTTTTTACAGGAGCAGTGTACAGACCACTCGTAACATTTTCAATGTTGATACTGGCTACAGACTGCAAGATGATCAGTAAGTCAAATGACCCTAAAGAGACACCCTTCCCTCAACTCTCCTTCTTTCTGAAATGTATTGTACAACCAGTAGTCTTGTAAAAACATTTTTAATATTTGTTTCATTTTGGTAACTACAGTTGAGCTCTCGATGTTATGTTCAGTAAATTACATACGTTATTTAATACAGCAGAATACCAGTACTGGAATTAGAGTCATGATTGTTGTGCAGTTAGCAGCTGACCAATTAACGCAATTAAATGTAATCAGAAGGATACAATGTGTGACCGTGTTTTATCCCGAATTTATGAAAGCCCCACTTGAGACCAAGAGTTGGAACTTAACTACCTCTGAGAGAAGAAATAACCATAGCTTTTTTCTCAAATTGTTTGTTGATTTCAGGGTGATCAATCACTTTCCAAACCATTATGAATTGACAAGGAAAGATTTAATGGTGAAGAATATCAAGAGATATCGCAAGGAGTTAGACAAAGAGGGCAGTCCACTAGCTGAGAAGGATGAGAATGGCAAATATATTCATCTTGGTAAGGGACAACTTGGCTTTACTTCTTGGTGCTTGATTTGTTAGAAAAAAAAACCACCCTGACATATATTACAGATACTTTGGTTCCTAGGAATGCTAACACATGCATGCGCTGTAAGGTAGCAGGAACATTTAAAACAAGACTTTCTTTAAGCTTGGACAATTTTTGTTTGAGCAAAAGCACAAGATAAAATATCTTCATCATTCTTGTGATGTGACCGATTTTAACTTTGCATATACATGTACATGTACGTGTACAAAACATGTAAATTTGGTACAGGATAGCTTCTGCTGCTCAAGAAGTTTAATAAAAGTCGACTGTGAAGTTGGAACGACACTTTTGTTTACTGCCTTATACTTTCATTTGGATTATGTTATACACAGCTATGAAGCCTCTGTGATGGTGTAGAGTCAACTGTTAAATGTTAATGAGAGCTTTTCCTGCCTATTCAATGCCAAACTTAAGATCTATCTTGCCAAGATTTTTATGAACTTCTCATGAAATACATGCCTGAGGTTTTTAACCTTTCTTCGTTTCCATGATTTCTTGTCAGATTTCATACCGGTCACATTTCTATTGCCAGCTGATTATAATCTCTTTGTTGAAGAGTTCCGGAAAAATCCCTCCAGTACTTGGATTATGAAACCGACGGGAAAAGGTGAGACATGACAATGGCTCGGAGATTTCTTTGGCTGGACGTTATTTGAAAGACGCCCAAGACATGTATTTAACGATAATCTGATACTGATGATTAAATATATCAAGATGGTGATTCAAGGGTGTAATAATCAATGTTATGAAGACCAGAATAATAGTGGTGATATTGATTGATCTAGTGGTGATG